ACCCTTGGACAAACACAAAGCATGCATTTGTGTTTCATCTTTCTTACTGGAGATAATGAATAACACAGAGGGTGCTGTTTGTCCACCCACCCGCTGTGCCTCCTTTTGTTGCAGTTTATTTAATGTCTTCAGTGCCTTTTCAATAAAACACTGGGGAAGAGTGTATGACTAGTGGGGGGAAAAAATCTTCTCTTTACAACTGTGATCAATAAACACATTAATTTCTCACACAGAGACAAACAGGGCCGACCTGGGTTTGTCCTCAGGCAGCTCCTTGGTCACAGCAGTGATGAGCTGGGTTCTCAGAGCCTGGTCCATGGAGCCCGTCTGGAGGCCATCCAAGCAGAATCCTGCTACAGGCCTCTTGGCTGTCTCCCTGGCTGAGCGCACCCTCTCTTCCAGGATGTCTCCCCCCTCCACCGCCCCGAACACCTCAACTCCTTCCAACTCCTGGCAACAACAGACAGTTTGGTGATTAAAAAGCTGATAGAAAGAAGACTGAAAGCCGCGCAATAAACTAAAAGAGGCATGCTGAAACCTGACAAAACATAGATGTTAAACAGATTCCCCCTCCTCTTTCTAACCACACATGGTTAGAAAAGTGCAAAAAAAAATATGTTTTATTCTTCCTAGAGCCCATCTGGATTCTGATTTTGATGACTCAACATGAAGTTGACTGCACATCAAGAAGAGGAACGACGCAGTGGGGGGGTGAGGCAGTGGAGCTTGGTAGCAATCAAGCAGCACACTCAGTACAATGTTGATATCAAGAATTACCTGTCAGTGCTGTTCGGCTCTTTCCTCAACATCATTCTATGGTTAACATTTATTGTCCCTATGGATACTTTGGTTTGCAGCCAGGAAATAAAATACACAGAAGAGCACATACAATGCATCACTTAGCAAACACACTCAGGCAGTGAATGTACACATAAGATAAAACAATGCTAACAGAAGACACAGAAAAACTAAATAATAAATAAACTACTTCTAATAAATTAAGCTACAGATCAGACAATCAGCTTCACACTGCTCTCTCTATCATGAAATTAACATTTCACTGCTTTTAAAAATAAATAGAAAAAGCTGATTTCATTAGTCATGCTGGATTCTGAGCCATTGCACACCTACTGATAATGTATGTATCCACTGATAATGTATTCCTCCTAATCTCACTGTGTTTTCAGCCGTATCACAGCTGCACAGCGGCCCCCTGTGACAACAAAAAAACACCAAGCATCCATCTTTGTCCTGTCTACTTGTGCCGTGCATGACTGATTCAAAAATGTAAGAGAGCTCTGGTGTTGTGTGTGTGTGTGTGTGTGTGTGTGTGTTTAAACTGCCCGTTGTGTGTGTACCTGGGATTTTTGGTGCACCAGCAAACACTCATCCAAGTGGGCGAGAGTCCGATCCACCGACTTTCGAACCCTTTTGCGCGAGGTGTTGCTCTGCCACGTTTCTCCATCTGCCATGCTCTGGTACCAGTCTGGCTGCACGGCCCTCTGGAGAGTCATGAACTTGGCCACCGTCAGCTCAATCCGCCCACCGCTGCCCCACACGGACACCGTCTAGTAACAACCCAGACAGACCTTTCATGTAAAATTGAACTAGGATAATTCTCTCTTTAAGGGAATAGTTCGGCATTGTGGGAAAAACATGTATTCGCTTTCTTGCCATGAGTTAGATGAGGAGATCAATACCGATCTCACAGCAGCTGGTTAGCTTAGCTCAGCATAAAGACTGGAAACAGGGGAAAACAGCTAACCAACACATAACCCGCTCTAAAACCACAACGGAGCCAAGCTAGCTGTTTCCCCCCGTTTTCAGTCTTTATGCAAAGCTAAGCTAACAGGCTGGTGACTCCAGCTACATATTTAGCACACAGATGTGAGTGTGGTTTCAATCTTCTCATCTAACTCTCAGCATACAAGGGGATAACTGTATTTTACCAATATGTGGAATTAGAGGCTTGATCTCACCTTGTTAGTGGTGTAACCTGTTGGGCAGGGGGTCGCAGGGTCGTGAAGCGAGCAGTACAACACAGTATCATGAAGACCTGCACAAAGCACAAAACAAAAATCAATGCACATCACTCACAGAGAACAAAACAGTCAGGAAAGGCAGAGCATGAAGCATGAAGCATGAAGCATGAAGGCGACAGAGTGAGACGCTTCATTACTGCACGTTAATGTGACCACTGACTCTGGAGAGAGGAACGAGGTGTGGTCTTATCTGCAAACACAGCTGCAGCAGATGATCAAAAGGTGAGAAAACAAAAGGCTTAATAGCAGCAAATGCTGTTATTACTTCTAATTATTCAATCAGGGCTCTTCCCTTCAGCACTGTATTAATCCCCTGACAGTTTACAACAAGTGGCGCAACAGTGATTACATTTCTAATTTCAAATTTGGTTGCTTGAGGCCGAGTAAAGCTTAATACCACAGCTACTGTTGTACAGCAAGTCTGAACGAGGTCGTTTTTCTGGGGCATTTATATAAATATTACTCAAAACAGCACTACTTTATCGTCAGGCTCTCATGGAGCTAATCAGCTTTTTAATATTGAACTGAGAATACTGTATATTTAGAAGCAATTTGCTCCGTCTTTACATTTAGCCAGTGGTAATAATGTTCATATACACTAAGCTCTCCAGAGTGAATCTGTGTATCGTGCATGTGTGACATTTACACCAATCAAGTCACACCAGCTTTTAAGCCTGGCAGAGGTTCTTCTCATGTAGTTATTTAAAACTTGACTGGAGGGTTAAATAACAATCACAGTGGAGCACAACAGCAACAAGGTTAATTCAACGTGGTTAAACAAACAGTCCCTTTACTCGTCTACAGCCTCGATCTTTGACATGGAGATGAGTGATTCTGATGAGATTTTATGTGGTTTAAAGACTCAAACAACTTCAGTCAAAGGACACAGAGTGTAAACACAGCAACAGTTCAACTGCTGTGTTTCTCTGCAGAGACTTGAGGGGCTGATTAAAGGCTAGGAAGAAAAGAAACTGGAAAAAAGATATTTACAATCACAACCTCTTTCAAGATCTGTAAATGCTCAGAAACATAGTAATTTAAAAATGTCTGTTTCTAATATCACAACTTGATGGATAATACAGACCACAATCAAATACTGGATACAATACTAAAAAGGTGATGACAAAGGCACTCCACAAAGGTAGTAGATGACAATATCACACAGACTGGAACAGTTACTGGATGAATCTCCTTGTGCGAAAGGCAGTTAGTGAACTATTTGTATCAACGCTCTTTGCTTAAAATAGTATTTCAGCACTGGGTGGCAACCGTTATGCTTTAATAATATATTTACTGAGCAATATTGAGAATCAGATTACAAACACTAATCTGCAGTTGACTGTATTTACTTGCACATATTAAATTTCTATTTCAACAACTGTTGTGTACTTATGAAGACGCCTGCTTAGTTATGTGCCTCTATTCACTGGTCGTAAATGAAATTCTACTGAATTAATATGAATATGTCGTGATATTCAGGATTTTCAGCCAATGATGGATTACCTTTACATCAATACTGAATAAATCTGAATACATTGGAATAACATTGGATGTCACTGTAATTAATGTCTAATCAATGCGGTTTGGTCTGCTCGGACTTCCCCATCCACTCCTGTCTTCTCCTGATTACTCTCTGGAAGATAAGTGGTGCTGAGGGAGGAGGAGGAGGGGGAGAGAGAGAGAGAGAGAGAGAGAGAGAGAGAGAGAGAGAGAAGATGGAGGTAAGAAATGTGATTGAACAAATGTACCTGAAAACTTCCTGAATCCATCCTTAAACTCCTCCAACACTTCCTGGTGCTCTGCTCTTGAGGGGTAAAAAGTGATGGAGGTGACAGTTAGATTTCAGAGTGTGTGTGTGTGTGTGTGTGTGTGTGTGTGTGAGAGAGAGAGAGAGAGAGAGAGAGAGTGTGTGTGTGTGTGTGTGTGTGAGGGGAGAATGTGTGTGCGAGGTGTGTGTGTGTGTGTGAGAGAGAATGTGAGTCAGTGTGTGTGTGTGTGTGAGCGAAAGAGAGAGAGAGAGAGAGAGAGTGTGTGTGTGTGTGTGTGTGTGTGTGTGTGTGTGTGTGTGTGTGTGTGAGAGAGAGAGAGAGTGTGTGTGTGTGTGTGTGTGTGTGTGTGTGTGTGTGTGTGTGAGATGAGTGTGCCTTACATATTGGACAGTGTGACTTGAGTGACAGAGGGGAGGTTGCTCTGGGTGTGCAGTGTGTCCTGGGTGAGGTGGGGCACGGTGCCCAGGTGTGTGTACAGCAGACACCCCGGTACTTCCAGAGAGTGCTGCCCCGCCCTGCCGAGCCTCTTCAGGACACCCAGCCGACTTCTTCCCTGAACCACCCGCGACAGCTCCAGCTTCATCCTGCTGCCAGCCAACCGAGAGTACCGAGAGTACACCCAGTTACAAGAGCATGTGAATTAGCCACGTAGCTAACTAGCATCACCGCTCACGTGTTACTTTAGGCAATATTACATTTTAAATGTTAAATATTTTCTGCCTCTTAAATTACTTACATCGAGAAAACACACTTACGCATTCAACGTTGTTTGAATTACACACGTTTATGATTTAAGAGCATGTTTAATTCGCTTACCTACTGAAACCGGCTGCCTGGCAGGAACTACAAGTCGTGTAATTATGTCGTCATCACCGGCCGCCGCGGCACTTGGAGAGGGGGAAACTACACTCACGCGCGCCATGGCTCCCTTTTTGATCAAAACACCGATTTGTTGTGTTGTCTTTACACAAACTATAAAACAACTAGTGTTATCTGATATCACTGATTTTACTTCAACGTTTTAAATCCTTTTTTTAAACTCAAGTTTGGCTCCTTTAGAAGTGAACGATGTTGCTATGGTTACCAGAGAGACGCCTGAACCACAAACAAAGTCTGGTGGGACATGTAGTTCAGAAAAGCTTCGTTGACGAGGCGACTATCTAAGAAAACTTGTAAATCTACTACATTACCCAGAATCCTATGTGATTCAAATTGATGGCAGTTCTGTGTACAGGTGTTTTTGCGAGGGCTCTTTGTACTGAAGCCTTTTTGTGCATATAAATTTGAAATAGTTCGCTTTTGTAGTTGGTTGAAGAGGACACCGTAGTATTTAATTGGGGTTACATTATAGTAGCAGAGGTAAAGGACTATTAACAAACAAATAATGACGTCCCCAGGTCACAATCCTCATCTGTTTAGATGGAGGAGGCTCGGCAAGAGTAACATAAATAAGGTAAGTTTAGTGTTTGGACTGAGAGGTATACTGCTTCTATAATAATTGGAAAAAGGTAGTAAACTGTGGCTGTGTATTCTAGATAAAAAAAAAAATAAAATCCAAGGTACCTTATCTGAAGGGAAAACATTCAATATTTTTTCAGTCAATTTTTACTTTTCCAGACCATTCCTCCAGGATTATCAAATCCCCTAGAGAGGTAAAACATAACTGGATTTATGAATGAAGGAGCAGCACATCAGGGTTACTACTATTTATGAAGGCATGGCTCATGTCAGGGGACGGTTAAATGTCAAACAGATGGCCTTTCTCAGATACTCACATGCCTGCAGCCTGAGACAGAGATAGCTGAGTCGCTGCTAGTGAAGCGCTGACTTTTTAAGACGTCTGGGAAATGATTTTGAAGTAATCTGCTGATTTAAGGCAATGCCTAAGCTTTTCCTGTGAAATAATCCACAGACATCAGGCACTGGTTCAGCCCTCAATTTGCACATTGTGTCCACAGCTCAAGGTGTGTTGTGAGCTTGGTTTGTCATTTTCAAGCAGGCGAAGGTGACCATGACACCAGCGTTTTCATGGTCTCTCTTGCAAACAGCTTACACTTGTTTTTCTTTCATGAACAGACGCATGTGAAGAATGGTGATATCGATCAGTGGAGGAAGGTGAGGAGGACGAATGTGCTGGTGCTTTCATAATTCATGTTTTTATTCCACTGTAAACTGAATTCCTTTGGGTTGTTGATTCTTGGTAAACTAAGCAACCAGTTACCTTGGACTGATTTCTTAATTTCGAGTATTTTCTGCCAGTCACAGAATAAACAATGAGACCAAATAATCATCACATTAATTGATAATAAATGTTAGGTTCATCCGTACATCTGTTTGGCTGTTTCCTTGTCCTCAGCGAGTTGAGACGGCTTCAGAGTTTGCTGTATCTGAAGTCTTCTCCCACAAGAGACCTCACTCAGAAACATCGGTAGCTTTGCAAAGCTCTGACCAGCTAAGAGACCACGATGACGCTTATAGTGAAGGTAGGTCAGGACATGAAAAAAATAAGAGGTGTCTCTGGAGAAGCACTACCTATATAATATTGAGTTAAGCCAGTGCAGCTGCAGGCTGAACAATGATATTTGTGTTGCAGCTCAGGCTCTTCTTGGTGATTGGCTGAACAGTAAATTGCGTCTGGAGCTGGAGATGGAGGAGGACGATGACTCGATGTGCTCCGCTGAGAGAAGAAGGCCTGTTTCTTTGGCTAATGCTCAACCCACCGCCCTGAGCTACAGCAACTTTGATGGTACAAAAACAAGGAGGAAAACCGTGTTACCTATCCACGTAACCACAGGCTCAATATTTTAAATAATCAAGACCAGCTTAAATTTGACTTCCCTGGCCATAATGTAAGGAGGTTTACATTAGACATCAAAAGCCAAAATAAATAATGGACTAATGAATCAAAGCTAGGATTTGTAGTTTTAATACTTTGAAGGTTGATGCAGCACATCTTTAAAGGAGTAGTTCACCCCAAAGGAACAATCAGTCATTATTATGTAACCCTTAACTCCAAACTACAAACAGGGATCAACAGGTCAGTGTCCGCCTTCTTCCAACCCAAGGCATGTTGATTGACATTCATGAATTTTCATTTTTGGGGATCATCTACACTTAAGATTGAATCAAGATTAAGATTGTTGTACAATATGTATTTATACAAGGTATATAAAATATATATTATTGGGTTCACACAAAAAGTAACATAAGCGTGACTTTCGATGTCTCATTTTGACCAAAACCTAAACAAATTTAAATGTAAGTCACTATCTACCAACTGCTTACTATAGTCATATGCTCCAGGTAACATTATAAGTTACAGACCATGCCGGTGGTTTTGCATATTTTAACGCATTAACTACAGATTATTTAATCTACACTAACCATTTTTTACAAAGATTATCATAGGTTTTCAAATTGTAATTATTAGAAATTTATCACAGTGAATACTTTATTAACTTTCCTTTTGTCAAAGTTATGTTATAGTGTATTAATGCAGTTGTGACTCAGGACATTTTCTTTTGTTCTCTTCTTTGTTGGTGCATTTATAGCTTCAAATTCAAGACTTGAAAGCCAAACAGCAATGTTTTGAACCCAAGAGGTTACCAAATGTCATGTCTTTTGGTATTTTGTGTTTTATATTCCTCCAACAGAACTTGTGAATGCAATGGTTTTTCCTGAGTGACTTCTTAATGTTGGATGTTTCCCTAAAGGCAAAGAAATCGACCTTAAAACTAATTGTATACTTATGCAAGACGGTCAGCACCAATTTAAAGTGTACAGATGATTTTCAGTTAATGGAACAAAACATATACAATTACTGGTACGATTCTTTTAAAAACTGCTCCTCAGTTGTGATATAATACTTTCCAACACTTAGAGCTGTACAACTGCCTGGCTGAGGAGGAAGAGCACAGCGCTGTTAACAGCTTCCTACAGGACCTGATGGAGCAAGAGGTGTTGGACTCTGGGGTGATGGAGGAACTGGCGCTGGATGTTGGACAAACAAGAAAGAAGTTCAGAGACCCAGTGGTCACCATGGAAGCACGACACCTGCAGGTATGTAACCAAAGTGAATGCTGTGGTTTGGGAATCTCACATCGAGCGAATCAACTAGAAGGTTTGTTCTCAATTACCCTAATTGCTGCTGATTGCCACTGAAGGTGCGGGAGAACAGAGCGCGGCGGGAGGCTGAGAGGCAGAGGCAACAGAGGGAGAGGGAGGCTCAGCGGGGTGTCAAAGAGGAAGCAAAGAGGAGGGAGCGGGAGGAGGAGATAAGGAAGAAGCAGGAGGCACGGAGGCAGGAGGAGATGGTGCAGCAGGAGATGGTGAGACTGCGCCGTCAGATGGAGGAGAGGAGAGGCCTGGAACAACTGGTTCGACAGAGGTATGGTATCCACAGAAACCACTCGCCTCTGTTGAAGTGATTACGACTATCACCTATATCTGAAATGACCCTTTCTGTCTGATTACATCTAATGTGATCTTGTCTGCTCCACCTCCCTATAGTGGATTGGATGGATTAATGGTAACCTAGTGAGTCTATGATAAGGCAGCTCCCTGACCCAAACAACTATTATTGAAGTGTCCCTGGAGAGAATATAGAAGCCTCTGGCCAGCATGATGACACTGTTGTGTAATCTCTCCCAATGTGTATAGTAGCTTTTCTTTATCACAACTGGGTCCTGAGGTTACTTTCATCATGAACATCCTTTGATCAAAGCAGTAGGAGTAAGGACTTAAAGGTTAAAGAGACGATAAACAAAACAATATTCTCTATTGAATACAAACTCCTGAATATATTATAAGTTCAAATGTTGAATACCCAAAGGCAAAAATGGTAGCACACACACAGATTTCCAGGACAAAGCTGACTAATCTAAATTTCACCAATTTATTCTGGCCATGTCGAAGATGTCATGTCCTTTATATACAGGAGTTGGCAGGTGATTGGCTTAAAGGGTCACATGGTCGCATTTATTTTTTTTTTTTGCAGGTGGTTCTCCCCACACCACTTCACAAAGTGATCAACCAGGTCCCTGTACTCAGCCTCCCCTCCCCCACCCTCAACACACCCCACAATGGCCGTGTCATCAGAGTATTCTGCAGATGACACGACTCAGTGCAGTACTTAAAGTCAGCAGTGTAGGTGGTGAAGAGGAAGGGAGACAGTATAGTTCCCTGGGGGGCCCCGATGTTACTAATCAGACGGTCAGACACACAGTTCTGCAATCTCACAAACTGCGGTCTGCCCGTCAGATAGTCATCGACCCATGTGATGAGGGGAGCACCCACCTGCGTGTTCTCCAGTTTGGCCTTCAGCAGTCTGGGCTGGATGGTGTTGAAGGTGCTGGAGAATTTGAAGAACATGATGCTGACTGAGGTGTCAGGTCTGTCCAGGGAGGAATAGGCCTTCTCCAGCAGGTAGATGATTGCATCATCAATCCCCACATCAGGCTGATATGCGAACTGCAGTGGGTCCTGCGATGGGCACACGATCCCATACTGTTTATATACTTATATGTTTCTGTATTTTGAAACTTGTTCAAAGGGAGCATTTATTTTAAAAAAGTATATTTATACATTATACAAAGTGTATACATAAAATGTTTTATGTTTGTATTTAAAGGACATCCTGGAAATATGTGTGTGTGCTACATTCTCAGTTTTGACTTTAAGAACAGAGGTTAGCAAGAGAAAAATAACCAATTAGGTTGATTCCAGGAGATACGGTATACAATTATGGAAAGAACATCAGATACGTTTGTGTGTGTGTCTTATTTGTTTCGTGTAGTAATAACTTAGATGTGAGTGTTTTTTATATATTTTTTAGGTCCATTATTATTCTTTTTTTAAAGGTTTATTTACTGCACCTTCTGAGGATGACTGCAATTATTTATGTTCCCCTGCATGTTTATTCCCCAGAGAAAGGGAGGGAGTGGAAGGTCGGAGGGCACCCAGAAGCCTTCAGTCAGCTCCTCCACATCCCACAAAACAGCAGCAGCTGGATACACAGCGACTTTATAACCAACAGAAAATTCAAACCAAGGTTCACATGCGTAATCTCAAGGTTGGTTGGTACACTGTGTGTGTGTGGGTGTATTTGCAGGTTAATACAGAATGTAAAGTTTAGAACTTATGGGCCTGCATGTTTGCATGTTTCAGTGCCTGCAGAGGCATTTCTCTGGATGGTATGCAGTGGTGTTGGACCGAAGGCTACGTTTGGGTAAGGCCATGGCCCTCTGTGACTGGAAGAGGCAGCTGAGAGCATGGCGAGCGTGGAGGGCAGTGGTGTGGGCAGCACAAAGGCAGCGAGAGGTGGCAAGAACAGAGCAGGAGCTACGGGCTGAAAACAGGCAAGAATCTAAAAGAAATTATGTTAAAGGGCCCAGCCAACCTGTTATTGTATAGTAAGTCTTTTACTACAAATAACACTATGTAGCTACTACCTATAATACCTTTAAAATTAGACTATTAGATGTGATGGCATTCCTCAAAGACAGTCATTGGTTTTGATCTTATTACCCTGATTGAGCAATAATTGAGTGTTAAAAATACGATCATATCTGTTACCTCTTCCAGACAATGCCAGCTGGCTGTAGAGAGTGACCGGAGGCGGTTGCTACGGCGATGTCTGAATGAGTGGCAGCTATGGTGTCGGATGGAGAAAGAACAACGAGAGCTTTTGGCCCAGCAGCAGGAGACCCGGCGCAAGATGTCCGCCTTAATTAACGCTGCATCGACAGGCAAACTCAAGGCAACAGAAACGCCAACTTATCAGCCAGTAACGGCCCCGCCTGAGGCATCTTACCAGCCAGAGAGCACAGAAAAGGTTAGCGGTGCATTCACAAATCCTCATAGCAGCAACAGCAATGCACAGAGATTCATTCAAATGTTAACTCTCTTTTGTTAATGTTTTCCACTGAAAAAAACCTGACAAATCAAAATTTTAAGTGAAATCATGACTAAAACATCAACCCCTATCCCTGGCAGGCGATGCTAAAAGCCTAATTACTGAGGCAATAAATAAGTTTGGAACTAAACTGAATAAAAAATCAAAAAACAAATCTTATCTTTGCATGGGACGACCCTTCTCAGTTCAACCAGGGAAAAAAACTTTTTCCTGCTGAAATATTCACAACAGTGTGAGAGCAGAAAAGAAGGGGAGGTGTACATATAGAGGGCGGGAAGGTATAGAGCAGATGGAAAGAATGCGAGAGAGAAATAAGAGGCGTAGAATAGTGGAACAGAGCTCGAGGGACGGAAGAAACGGAACAGGAGATGAAGTTGGAGGAGTTCATGGTGGAGGGGTCAATAAAGAGGCCATACTCACTATCAGGCCCCTGCTGCTTATATATCAGGATTCCTGGAGTTCAGTAAAGATTAAGGACTTTGCTACTGTATCTTTAATATTCCCCTTAAGCGTTTTGTAGACTTAGACCTAAGGGCAGGTTTTATTATTTTATATAGAATATCATCTTCAAATCTATTTCCTTCTCTGTAGGAAGATCACCACAGGTCAGGCACTTTAGCCCCAGAGAGCTCTGCAGTACATCAGAACAAGACCCCTGTGGGCTCTGCGGCCCAGCCCACTCAGCCATGGCAGGTGACCCGACGCCATGCAGCACCGACTGCCGCTGAGCTCCACGCGACACGGCAGAGAGGCGAGGGCGGTGGCGTCACCTGTTCAAAAAGGGCGGTGTCGCCGGGTGGCAGGTTTGAGAACAGACACGCCATCCAGCAGCAGATCATCACGCAGCAGAGGAAGCTGTTGAAGGAGCAGCAAGAGCAAATTGCCCGGTTGAGGGAGGAGCAGAGCGTGGCGGGCCTGGAGCTGGAAATGGAGAGAACCGCACAGCTCACCCAGCTGTCAGTGCTGAGAGACACGAGACCAAAGAGCCATAAGGTTGACCCCACAGAGCAGAGGTAAGGCCCGCTGTGCTTTTGGTCTGCCGTTTCGTTAAAAATCTCCTCTGAGTGAGTTTCTCACTTTCTGATAAACCATTAAGGTAGCACATATAAATGTTTATATCATTACAACATATCATTATGTCATTAATTAAGGGTAATAAACCAACAATTCTGCAGTTATAAAGGTTTTAGGGTCAGGAGTTTCTTACTTTCTGATAAGCCAGAAAAAAAGGTTAATATATAATAATAATATTTTAATAAGTGGTTAATTAAGAGTTTGCACACTAATACATTAAGTCTGCAGTTATAAGTATGAATAAATAGCTAATAAACAGGTATCCAGATGTCCTGCAGCACTTTTTTAGAAAGTTAGATTTCAAATGGTCTATGGCTCAGTAATGGCCTAAAACTGATTTATATGCATCAGTAAATATTTTTTTAACTGTTGTAACTGTAAAGCCACTAGTTACAACTTATGAAGCTTTTTTATAAAGGTTGACTTATTAGAAATGGTACAATTATCAGCAGCAAATATTTAGTTTAATTTAGGTCAGGGAGAGATCACCATTCAGTGTATATCAGTCAAAATGTTCATGTTAACTCTGTAATACACTAAATTAAACCATTTAGAAATTGGTCGAGTGGATCTGGATGTAGATCTTTGCACATTATGATAGATTTATTACAAGCTCAGATAGTAAAGATAGTATAGAAAAGACCAAATAATGTGAAAAGGTTACAAATTAGTGTAGGGATATGTGAGTAGTATGTGCCTCTAGGGGTTACACTACTGTATACCTATATATATTCTTGTACATACTGTTTGTTGCCTCTCTCCCTCGGGACAGTACATTGTAAGACTGTCTCCATATCTCTGCATGCCCCACATGTGCTGTTAGTTCTAAAACTCTCTTTTAGATGATGAATAATCACTTAGATCAGCTCACATCTCTTTCTACAATGCAGACTAATGGCAGAAGAAGCTGGTGGGTCATCGCCTGTGCACACCTCAGTGGCTAATCAGGGGTTGAAAGTATCTTTAAAGAAATAATACCCTTTTGAACTAATGTCTATTATAGTGCAGGCACTTGTTTTCAGGAGCAACACCCAGGTGAATTGGGGTAAAAGTCATTATGCGTTAATAGCTTTCCGCATTAAGTACAAATCACATAGGAGTAGATACAAAGAAAGTGATCAGCTACAGAAGGATTTTGAGGCTTAGAGAGAACAGAGGAGCAGGAAGGTTGTGCAAAAGTTTAATATTTTGAACATTAATTCCTTATATAATTATATATTTATGTCATAACAGATTAAATACACTTTTCAAGAAGTCCATACAACCTTGAACACAGTTTCTTGAGTAAAACAGAAAGTCATTTATAGATTTATGGACAGTAGGATGCATGTCGGTTGAGTTTGCCTGAAGTCCATACCTGTCTGAGTAAAATTTGCCAGGCAAGGATCAGGAGGATGTGAATGTGCAGACAGAGTTATGACGGGTCTTTGTTTTGGTCCTACCGGCTGTGATTGTTGCAGGGCACCGAGAGTTACTGGAGAACCTGACAGTCTCTGTGCACCTCCGAGGAAAGCTGTCACACGCCAGACGTGCCTTCATCCAATCATCACAGGTCAGTCTGCAAGTTCAGCTGCATAGCAGTAGAGGATGACATACACAAATTTAAATATAAACATATTTAGCAGCTTCATATCTTCTTCCAAACATATGGCGACAGAATGCTGTAGCTCTTTTGTCAAGAAAATTGCATGACCCTACAGGTCTATAGTCCTAGCACAGTCCTATAGCGCTCATAGTGCTCAGAATATGAAGCATACATTAACATCCACATATACACCCCTGAGATTCTGTTCATACCACAAAAGAATACCTTGCGCTCAACTCACCTCTCTCCCTCTCACTGAAGCCATGGAGGCCCGCGCACGCCAACGCGCAGAGCGAAGGAAGGAAATCGAGGAACTCAAGAGAAAGAAGGAAGAGGAAAAACTGGTAAAAGATTGAGGACTTGTTTTCCGGACCAACAAGCTGTTTTGTAGGATAACTAGCAAGTTGTTACTGTCTGAAAAAAATACAAAATGCAACTTTTCAGGCTGAGATGAAAGCAGCTGAGGAGCAGAGGCAGAGGGAGGAGGAGGAGGAGAAACGCAAAGCAGCAGAAAAGAAGAAGGAGGAGAAAAGGCTGGAAAGAGAGGTGAAATGTGTTTCATATTTCATGGTTGTTCACAAAGACATGAGTCAGAATAAAGGAAGCAGTGCTCTCCTGTGAGTAACACTGAGTCACTTTCTGTGTGTGTAGAGGGAAGAGGAAAAACAGAGGCAGCTGAAACGGCAACAGGAGCTCATGAAGCTGGCCCGTCAACACTACGACAGAAACTTACTGCTACGGCGAGGCCTGGCACCATGGAAACGCCTCATTCAGCTCAGACAAGCCAACATGCAGGTAAAGCACCTGTCTTGTCAATTTCAGGCTGTCAGCTGCTACAGAAACATAGAGAGTGTTTTCATCCAAGTCCTGCCTGCCCTCACTCCACACTTTACAAACCCAGGTGGTGCTATTGATTCTGGCTTTAACTATGAAGAGTGCACAAAAAAATCCTATTTGAACAGGAAACTGCAGCGTTTTAGGCTTTCCATTATCACACATGCTCCTACAAGAGAATTACAATAAGGAAAAAGGGAAGAATTTTGACCTTCAATGGTATAAATCCAAGTTCTGGTAAACATCACGGATTTGAATAATAAAAAGCCTCCTCGGTTATAGACTTGTTTGAACATTAAAAGGAGCACATCCAGTACAGCATGTGCATCTGCTATCTGGGTTAGAGGCAGCCACTTGTGTGTTTATTTATAAATTACCGTTGGTGGACATAATGCATCCCTTTATTCTCATACTAAGAAGCAGTCTGAAATTTTAGCAATACAAAGAGGATTATACGTGCTTTTTTTTTCATTGTCTTGATTATGGCATTGCAGTCGCCTTGACTGAAGAGGCAGAAACAGCTTAGATGCATTCAAAACACTGGGAAAGCTTTTTAACCAATAGTATTTTGAGTAACTTAAACAATAGTAACTTCTTAATACCGTCATAATTAATACAATCTTTACCTTGGCTGACAATTATTTATGTATCATTTTTTTCATTCTGTATTTATTATTCCTTGCTTGGATGCTTTTTTTTCTCCCCATCTCTCCATCTTATTAATAGCTGTCCACTGGTACTGTGTATCCACTGGCAACCCCGATTTAATCGACCGATAATTGTGAACAAAATGAACAAATTGGTCTGGTAAAAATACAGCAGGAAAATAAAACCTCCCAAAGGCAAAAGCTACAAAAACACACTTATTCCCACCATCCACACGATTCATTTGCACAGAACCACATGAAATGCAAAAACTCATGTGCACATACATGTTTCACAGCCATAAATCCCCTCTGTTAAATGTGGGTTTCAGTCACAGATAGGCGTTTCATCGTTTAACACCACTCCATTGTTTCAACCTGGCACATATGATTGAGTTTGGATGCATTCATCAGTGTTGATCTGTGCTTTTCTTTTCAATGCCCGCCAGCTGGCCGAGAGTCACCACAATCTCTTCCTCCTGAGGCGGTGCACGCTAGGCTGGCAGCAATCATCAAGAGAGTCCTTGTCTGAGAAAGAAGCTTCTGCTGACCAACTGCACCAGCACTTCTTGCTTCGGAGGAGCTTAAGCTGCTGGAAAAGAGTGTGTATACAGACGCAGACACAGTTTTCTCCCCATCTTCTGCTAGTGACTTACAGCAACCCCTAACTGCACTCAATTAAGTTTTAGGTGCCCAGTCTTTAAGATAAAAAAAAGTATAGACCGTTTTCTATTTATTTTCTTGTTTAAGCTTAAACTTACTGATTAACTTGCAATTGGCATTTTGTCGTGGATTTTACAGCTTAAAGTTACAGCATACTCCATGTTTAAAAGAAGTTAATAAAGCGACTTAAATAATTAGTTTACTACAGATCAGTGATACACTTTCAGATTGTCCTTATCTTTGAGTGACTGTTGTCTGTCTCAGCTAAAGGACTGGCGGATGATTCAAGAGGAGAGAGCCGAGCGTTTCTATCGCACTCGCACTATGAGGAGGTTTCTGCTGGCACTGCTGGACCATGTGACCCAGGAGAGGCTGGTGGAGTGGGACCGTCAGGAGCTGGCTCAGGAGCACAATAACAGGTCTGTACCCGTGACTTTCCCATATGTTCCCTGTATGGATGCTGCATTGTCTTCCCCCCACTAAGATAGCCATCTAACAGGGTGTTCAATTAAATGTAACAGCTTGTAAAACTGTAATTATGAGCAGAACAGTTTGCCCAAAAATATAATGCTGTGAATTCCTGTAAGACATAAAATTAATTTTAACTGTATAGACACTTTAAGGCTAATGCTATAAAGAAAGTTCAGACTTTCTTATGGTGGTTGATTCATGAAGATAAAGGTTAGACACTGGAACATGTATTCTTGAGCAGAACCAGTTCCACTGAACATTTACAGATATGAGAGCTTCAGCCGTGCATCGTCTTCTCCACTGTGCATTAGATTGTAAATTACACCATCATCTCCGTAACTCCAATGAAGTGTCCCATACAATATCTGCTGTTAGCTGTAAATGTCTCTTCATATTATGATTAATGGAGTCAATTATGGTGTTCTGCTGCTCAGGTAGAAACTTAAATGTGGCTAAACTAGCTGGCATATCGTAATGTTTGTAATCTGACTGGTCTCTAGCCCCGGGTAATCAAAAAGTATTTTCTGCAATACTACCCTTTTGTAGCGACCTCATACTCGATTCATTTTAAGTATAGGTAATATGGGGTTCTAAAAACAGCGCCTCTGTGAATGACTCTAAATTCTGAGCATGCTTACAATGATGTTTAGCTGTTTTAGTTTACTGTGTTCTCCATATTAGTCTGTTTGTTTTTATCCAGTAGTCATAAACAGAATAGCCACCATAAGCTCAAATTCTTCCAGGCAGCATTGCAATGCTCACAATGACAATGCTTACATGTTTAGCAGGTGTAATGTCTATCAAGTTCACCATCTTAGTTTAATTATCACTAAAAGCACAGCCAAGGGCTGTTGTGAATGTCATTACTTTTCCAGGTATTTGGTCATAAATTGAAGTATTGGACAAATTCAAAAAATGACCTACTGGTAGCACAAGATAAAAATTCAGAGGATTCACCAAACTCATTACAGTTCATCCTGAGGGGGACGTTAATGTCTGTACGAAGGTTCATCACAATCCAGCCAATAGTTTTGGGAACATTTTACCTTAAATCCAGAAATGGTGCTGGAGGGAACATCAAAGACATTAGTATTCATCTTCCTGGAACCATGAATGTTAATAATTCACTGGATAAATGCAAACTTTGACCTGCTGGTGGTGCTAGAGGAAAAATCAGGGATATGTGATCAATATGGATATGTGAACTTAATATAATTACAATCCACTGCATAATTAATTAGATATTTCAGTCTGGAACAAAGTGATGGACTGACAGGCCTTAGAGCCATGCCATTAGCACGGCTAAAAAAAGTCTGTTCAATTTTTCTAATTTGCATTTAAATAGTTTAGCAAAAATGTTTTCTATAAAATATAAATTTTAAATCAACACACACTTCTGCTTTTGATTATGCTTATTAACATCATTATTATGTGGTCTTCAGCTTCCCATTTTAGCCAGGATTAATGATTTCTGTGGCAATGGTCTAATTTAAAGATGTCACTGTCATTGCCACAAAATGTGAGTGTTTATAAACTTCAGCTTCTCCAGAGAGGTCAGCTACATGACCACAGCCTGCAGGTGAATTCCCACTGGTTGCCCAGCTGCCATTGTCAGTGAGCCCTCAGTAATGTTGTGTGAAAACTCATTAGGTGTTGTCAACCCACAGGTCTCTATAATTCGGTTTCTTATTGCTCACTTGCACTGTTCCCCTCTGTCCCTCCATCTGCCTGCACTTCAGACGGGTGCTGCGGCGATGTTTCCTGGCCTGGGGGCAGCTTCCATATCTGCTGCGCAGGGAAAGAAAGAAGGAGGAGCGGCGGGAGAAGCTGGGGCGGAAAGTGACTGAGGTTCTGCCTGATTTCGGCTCCCATCCACTGTAAAGCCTCTGGGAGAAACTGTCACTGTAGGAAACAAACTGCATAGCCATACAGACGACACACACAGATCTCAACAACTCTGGAGAGGACCCTACAGACACACATACACAGGCACATTTCTCACATTTATTTAATATAAATAAATAAAACACACAACTGGACCAAAACAAGTTTTAGGATTCCAAAAAAAGCTTTCAATCACTTTGTGGACTAATAAAAGCAGCAGTAGTGGAAAGCACTGAAACCTCTCAACATTAATGTGTATTGGTTTATTTGCTTTTTTTTTCATATTTCAAGAACTGTTTGGTTCATTTTGAAAAGTTACTACTCATATTCAGACTACCCAATCATTCATTATGTTGAATGCAAGGACACACTGTACTTTAATTAGCCTGATTATGTGGCTTCTGCTGAGATGTTTCATTTTTTCATTTGTGATAAATATCCATGACACATTTCACAAGGTCAACACTGTGGATGAGTGTTTGTGGAGGACAAGGGAGGTGTTGAGTGCAGAAAGATCCTCCTTGAAATGACGTTCAGCCCACGTAATGTAGACGGACTGACCAACTCCAGAGACGTCAACAGATTACTCAATCTCACATTTTTCTTGTATGTCGACTCCCAGCAAGGCACTAGGATACAGAGGAGACATAAAGACAATGTTCAAGTACGGGGAAGACAGTCAGCTGGAAGGAAACAGTGATATTTGTTAAACCAAGAGCATAGGCGTCAGTTGTGTATAGCAAGATATGGCAGCTGCCATACCATGAAATTAGTTATAGTTAGTTATTAGTTATAAAAATAAATAAATAAATAATAAACTAATTACACTTGTATTGCCTTAAATAATGATGAGGATGACATGCACTCTCACATTCTGTTCTGCATCAACGTTGCCTTTTTCTACAGCGTCCAATAAGTCTGCTCAGTACAGCCATGAGTGATGACAGATTGACCCACCTCATGCTTATGGCTGTAGAACTACACTGGTAAAGACATTAAACGTGGATGATCTGGTGACAGACTTTGCCCTGTTGAGACCCAGACGCTTCCCTGTTATAGACTAAACAACTAGCAGCCTACAGCACCAGAAGGTAAGAGGATGGATTTATCTTCCTCCGTCTGACTAACTGTTGTGCTGTGCAAAGAGGAAATAATCGCCCACAGCAGCCTGATGCTATTTGTTGAATTGTACAATAGCTAACCTTTGTTGCCTTTGTCAAATTGTATTGATGTTACAATACAGACATGATTTAATATGTTGGGTTGTCTGAAGGCTCGGCACTGATTGCTGTTTCATTGTGTGCTATTGGACCTGTGAACTGTGTGACCACGGATGCAGTGCCCCATAAAAAAAGAGAGACCTGTTTGAGAGGCAACGTGGACTTCATGTAGCACTTACTGAAACTGAAAGCATTGCAATGTATGGTTATTCTATGCATCTACTGTATGTACAATATGCACTGATTCATGCTATTTGTCTATGAGAAGAAAATAGACCTCTGATAGGTCCACATTATTCAGGTCAGTGAAGATGAGTTCCACCATGATTTTCGACAATATGTTGTTTTGCCCAGCTACTTTAGATAAGTGCCTCACAGCCTGAACAAATGATGTCTGTCATTGTCAGTGTTTTTCCTGCAAACCTATGAATTTAAATATATTATTGTAATCCAAAGCATTACTCTATTTTTGTTTAAACAAACGATTAATGATAAGGGTGCTGAAACACACACAAAAATAGATACAGTCATACCATTAGGCATTGTGAATGTGAGAGAGAGCTATATGTCCATTAAAACATTCTCAGTAGCATATTACATCCACTGCCATGCCTCGGCTTTAGCTGAAACAACGTCCCTGGCTGAGAGACTGGTGAGAAGTGAAATGAGGCAGCAGTGGAAGGAGATTAAAGGTCAGTGATTGGATATAGCTGCATAGACGAGATGCCAGTTGTCAGTGACATTTATGGCAGTAAATGTATCTTATTGGGGTTTGTAGTTATTGCTGTGTCAAAGTCAGGGCAACTCAGTAGTTGCAGTAACCCATTGATATCCGTTGTGGCAGCTCTCAGGTTTGCTGCCAAGCAGAGGCCAGCCATTAACGTTGAATCTGAGTGAGAGGAGCCATGCTGCCATCCAATGGACATAAACAGAACAGCAGCCATAAGCTCCAAACTCATTTTTTAAATCAGTTGCGTAACAGTCTCTTACACCAGATCCGTTGGGGTTGGAGAGGGAGGGTTCAGTTTGTCTCCCATGGTCATGAACTCTGCCCAGTTCCCACGGAAACCTCTGGAGTAGACGCCTGTATCCACAACGAGTCCCCAGAAGGCGCTGCGAGCGGTTTTGTCTCGCAGGGCGATGCGTGCCTCACGCTCGGTCACGTTGTAGCTCACGTTGATCACCTGCACCATCAGCAGGTGTAGCAGCCCTCCAGTCACAATACTGCTGTACCACGCACAGGTGAAGCAAAGTGCAGTGCTGGAACACACACGGTGAGAAAAAAGATAAAACAATGAAACGCAGCACAGACAGGATGTACTGAACAACCTAAGTGCTTGCAAGGTTGTTACTGTTTGTATAAATCAGCAGTAAGACTCTTTTTGTCATTGGAGGTATAAAACATGCCCATCACTTGATTATAAGCAACAATAATTAAATACAGTGTAAATGGGACACTGACAAAATAAATCTAATTTAATTCAATTTTAATATAAACCTGCGAATACAATTATAAAATGTGCTGTGTGACAAGTTTAAAAGCTGTTAATGGAGAGATCACAGTTAAAAGAACTTATTTTTACATATTCGGGGCATGATAGCAATTCAGACAAGTTGTATGTTCAGTAGTCTGAGGTTCAGATAGTTGTTCTGAAGGCATATTTTAAGTGTGCGACGCCTACTGCAGTGCCAGAGCAGATCATTTACCACTCTCTCATTGCTCCGAGCAAAAACAGTGAGTCTTTCTCCAACAGCTCGATAGGAAACACTGTAAGGTGTTCTGTGAAACTGATTCAAAACTACACTGAAAAAAGCCCTATGCAATATGCAATAACCTCACACCAACTAATTTAGTTAATTCTGGAAAAAAAGTCAAATTGCTGCACAGCGCTTCAGTTAAAAGAAAAGATTTTTGCTGTTGATTGCTGCTTAAAAGGCCAGCTGCCATTTCCTGTCTCCATGGGTTTGATCTGAACTGTGGATGTACACACATATAGAGTATGGAGTAGTAGTGTAGAAAGACTTAGTAGCCTAATGGTTACAACACATCCCCCACGGTCGCTCGCAACTGTCGCCAGCTTGATTCCAGACGGCAACCTTTGTTGCATGTCTCCCTCACCATCGGTCACTATCCAATAGAGGCAAAAATGCACTTAAAATAAAAATGTGTGGTTTTGGAGGAAAATAAAGATGTTCTTTACATTCCTATTAATGTATTCTGAACATCAACGAGCAACCAAACAACGGCCATTTTAAGTTTTTGGCAGCTACTCTACATTTTAATATTAGAAAATTTTTTAGGCCAATTTCACTGTTAATCATTGCTATTAATGCATAAAAACATAGTTTGACTTTTTGGGATTTATTCTTGTTCACTTGCCAAGACTTAGATAAGAGGATTATACCATTCTCATATCTGTACAGTAAATATGTAGTTAGTGCCAGCAGCAGCTGCTTAGCTTAGCTTAAAGACTGGAAACAGCTGGCCCTGTCCAAACATAACTAATCTGACTACCAGGACCTCTTTAACATACTTAATTCACACGTAACATCCTGTGTGTTTAATCTGTACACAAACTGAAATTTAGAAACAACAAGGTGTGGTTTTAAAGGGGATTATGTTTCCCCATTTACAGTCTTTGTGCTGAGCTAAGCCAACTGGCTGCTGCTGCTAGTTTCGGTGTAGTATCAATCCTCTTATCTAATTCTCAGCAAGAAAGTGAATAAACATATTTTCCCAAAATATAAAAAATTACACATTTTTTAACCAACAGATTTTTTATAAAAGATGCCATACATTTGGTTACGAAAGAATATAAAAAGATATCCACTGAGCATCAAATTTTACTTAGAGTTGAAAAATACTACAAAATTGTTATAGTAGTTATTTTTGCATTACTGTACATTTCTTGTTACTTGTTGGCTGCCATCTACACTGATATTGATATATCGGTTACATATTTATATTTACCGCTAATATTAGTGTGGATTTTAATGTTTTATCATTTCTTCTCATCTTTACATTTATATTTTAACGGTTCAAAATGTAACAACCATCTGGCCTGGTAACAATGAATGGAAGCAAAAGCAACACACATAGACACCAGTGCTCACCAAAACTGTCCAAAATATTTCTCTCAGTACCTGTACTGGTCGTAGACCCCCGGGCAGTAGAACAGGGCAGTGAGGTGGTGTTGTTTCGGACACACACTCTGCAGTACCAGGCTGATCCCGTACAGGGACGTCAACAGGAAGAGGACGAGTGTAAGCAGGAAGCTGCGGTGATTGGCCTGCCCCACACAGCTGTTTATCCTACCAGGGCACCAACGGAGGGAGACGCACAAACACAGTACACACACAGGCAGACAAAACATTGTACTGAGACCCCAGGGTTACAACTACACACATGCAGGACCACACATATAAGCACAGGAGTGGGTGATAGCAAGGAACTTGTAGCTGTACTTAATGTAAGTGTGTGATGTGCACTAAACACAACATAGAAATATGGTCAATAAAGACACAGCAGGTGTTAACTGGACAAACACCTGAATCCTGGAAAGAAAGACTTACGGCATTGTTTTGAAAATTAAAAAGGATGTTTTTTTTAGATTTATTGAAAAGAAAAGACAAGCAGGGGACAAACAAGACAACTTCAGTGTTTGAGATGTGAGACGAAGTGGAAGAAACAGAGATGACAGGCCGAGTGAGAGGCGTTTTAGTGGAACCCACCAGACACAGTGGTGGTCGAGACGCAGCACGCAGACACCACAGATCCGACAATGTCCCGCCCTTGGGGGCCGCACCACCCTGCACACCGGACACCAGTTCCTCCGGCTACTTTCCTTCAGCTCCACCGCCTGCTCCAACGACGATATCGCCCGGTTGGCTACCGTCATCGTCACATCCTGCCTCCCCCCGTTGACGGCAGGGTCTCTGTCTGCCAGAGGGCTGTAATACGTCACTGTGCTGTGGACGGACTCTTGGTGTGGCCGCACGATGCCGGGTTCTCTCTTGGTGTGGATAAGGGCTACCAGGGTGAGTATGACCCCTATGGTTACCACGGTTACCTCCACCTGACCAACATTCCCACTTGGAAGCACCTCGGTGATGAACAAGTAGTACATGTACCCCAGGGAGAAGAGGGCCAAGCTCAGGAAGAAGAGTGTCCGTCCTTTCTTGCGGTGGGTGAAATAGTAGTACCACAGCACCAGCCCGGGTAGAGCTGTCAGAACCACGATGCCGAGCAGGAAGTGGAGGGCAGCGAGGTGGAGCAGGACAGGAAGGAGAATAAGAGGAGGGATGACGGACAGCTCCACTCTTCGGGCTCCACCCCACAGCCAAGGCACACGAACGCGGTCTGAAACAACTGCAGCCACCTGTGCCAAGGATTCAGCCTTCTGAGGCTCCCTCTTCAGAAACCTGAGCAGAAAAAAGTCCCAATTGTTGTATTAATGTCAAACATTTGATGGTTCCAGCCTCTTAAATCGCTCCATTAAATTCAAGTCAATTGAAAAGAATCCTTAGTCACAGCCCCAGAGTTATTCAGTTTAATGTCTCTCACCTGTCACAGGCGTCATCCAGGTCTTCGCAGTCACAGCAGCAGGCTGCTACATGGCTGCGCTCTCCGAGTCTGTTCACATATTCACAGCAGCACAAGATCTCCTCCGCCTCCGGCACCTTGGTGGCTCGCTTCTTCATGACGGACAGCCTTACAGCCTATCAGAAAAGTTTATTGGAACCATTACTAGCTCAGCTTGTGGGCGCATTTGCGTTCAGAGACAAGAAAAGTGGCAGATAAGAGACAAGGAGTGAAGTGTAAACACCTCTAAAAGCCCACTTTGTTGAAATGTCCTTTTTCATAAAGCAGCTTTAGAGTTTTAGAAGGTGGAGTGCTTCCAAACAGATTTTCACCACATAACACGTCAAAGCAGACCCTGCTCATTTGACCCTACCCACCCCACCTCACATCTGTCACACATCTGTCATGTTTCAATGATTTACAGCAACTGAACGGCCCCACCACTGCAGCCGGCTAGCTCATCTAGATGGTACAGATGGATGTGGGCAGAGGTGAGGCAGTGGCAACATTTATAACAATTCAGTGTTCCCTTCATCACAGAAAGCAAGACTGACGATACCCCAGTGAACCACTAAGTGGGATTAATCCTTAAACTCAGTTAAACCTCTCCCTAGGGGGGGATCTGGCTCTATTGGCTGATGAGTCTCTGATTAGCAATAAATCAAAGAATGACATGGTGTGTTGTTTTTATTCAGCCACTGATCAAACTAGCAGGGTAAAGAGGAAATCTGGGTCAGGAAAGGTCACCCAATTTCTCACTGGTGAGTCCTTCCAGGCAGCCTTGAAGCTAAGTCTGTAAGGGCCTAAAGAGAAGACAGATTGGGCTACATGTACTGATTAGTGTGTGTGTGTGTGTGTGTGTGTGTGTGTGTGTGTGTGTGTGTGTGTGTGTGTGTGTGTGTGTGTGTGTGTGTGTGTGTGTGTGTGTGTGTGTGTGTGTGTGTGTGTGTGTGTGTGTGTGGCACCAACTGGCACATCTGCTCCCTGACAAAAAAAAAAAAACCTAATACTGCAGCAAGGATTCATAGCGTGACTGTGGTGCTCAGCAGTTTTATGTCCTGTTGTAACACTGAGGGATGTTCTGTGGTATGCAGTAGTTTTGACTTGCAGGACATTAAAAAAGCTTATAAAATGTAATGCAGGATGGCTGTAGCTTTTTAAGTGGGATTAAGAATTGGGACATATTGCTTTGAGTTCATATAATTAGTTGATTAATCTATTTTTAAAAAAAGAGTCAAAACTGTTTAGATAAAATGCTACTTCCAATTTGCTGCTTTTTTTATATATCTTGTGGTGGTTTTGTCTATTTTCAGACATTTCATACACCAAACAATTCATCGTTTAATGAAGAAAACTATCAGCAGATTAATTATGAAAAGAATCATTAGTGGCAGCCTGTAATTATGTTCATATGCCAGAGTAACCACATTTACATGAGGGAAAACTGCAATGAAGTCAGAACAAATGTGGACGGGCTCAACACTGCTGATGTTAAAGAAATAATCCGACATTTTGAGAAATACACTTAATCCCTTTCTTGCTGAGTGTTTAGATTAGAAAATGGATACCACTCTCAAATCTGTTTAAATGTGAATCTTACACCCAGCTGGTTTAGCCAAGCATAAAGACTGGAAACAAAGGTAAACAGCTAGCCTGGCTCTGTACAAATGTAAAAAGAAATATGCCTGCTAACACATTTAACACTCAGTAATTAATGAAATATATACAGTTTGTTAAATTCATAAAACTAGTAGTGGTTTTACACACTTTTATTGTCACTGTGGGGTTGCCTGGCAACCAGCAAAGACTCCAGGAACCAGTTATGTTAGTTAAGGCTAATAAATGTATACACAAAGACTTTAAGGTAAAAACATTATATTGCGATTATATATATTATTGTAAATTGCAGCTTCTGTGATTTATGTATATAAAAATATATTTGAAAATTTGAAAAAAAAAAATTTGAAAGCACAATTGACAACTTTATTTTAACAACAGGAAGGACACCGAGAAAACAAATCAAACAGCCTACATTTGTACGGTATTTGCCTCTAAACCTGTTTGTATAAAGGGATCAAGTGAAGTAACGTCATAATAGTTTACAGCACTTATAATAATATGAGCAGAACAATGTATTTGCTCTTATACATGTGTGTGTTTTTGTGGCGTTCACGTTCAAACCCCAGAGAGCTTATTATTATTATTATTATTATCACACCTGCCCACACGTTTATACGCTGTGTGTGTCAAACAAATCTTACATGTAAAAACACACACACATCTCAAATCATAAAAGCTTTAACATACCTGAACACCGAGCTGCTACATGCCGATGCTTTCGAGTAAATATCGACTGCAACGATTCCCCCACCGCCGGAAGTCTTCCTCCTGCTGACTGCGGTCGTATCCGGTGAGTTTTATCGTCGGAGCTTCTCGTTGTGGAAGTTACCAGAATAACAGCAGCTGGAGCTGAATCCGTCTGTGGTTCAAGGGTCCGGACTCCTCGACGTCCAGGTTGTTGAGGAAGACGTCCTGTAGCTCTTCCTCCCCCGACGGTTGTTCCTCCTGACGTCAAATGAGGAGGACTCTCCCCGCCCAGGACACCTACAGGACGGCCATGTGTATAGATACACACCGGAGCTCCGTGCAGTGGGGCTTCAGTCACTAACTGTGCTAAATATAAAGGAAATACAGTCAGTTCTGCCTCTTTGTGTCCTGAAAAACACATTTCTTTAGAGAAATCACTCATTTGTGTTTTTTTTACATGCAGAACAGTACAAAAAGTAAATAAAGTCAGTTCTGCCTCTGTGTGTGAAATACATGGAAAAATCAATCATTTTAATTCATGTTTTTATTATAAGTTATAGTGCAAAATACTTAATTTCTTTTTTAACATATTTTTATTGGCTTTTTTTACATACAGAACAGCTGCAGAGCAATACAAAAAGAAAAACATCGACAAACGTGAACAAAGTAAAGGTTTATCTCATTGTCATTGGCTATTAAGGTACAAAGGCAGAGATAGATAATTAAAAATGAATCACTACATGTGGAGTTACATTCAGGAGGGTGCAAGGGCTGTAGCTTTATTGTATTCTATAAATGGGTCCCAAATCCTCTCAAAGTGATCAATGGAGCCACTTTCGGTCCCCTCTCTCAGTCTCAGTCCAGCTGGGTGGATGAAGAGTCTTCCAGTGAAGGGGGATCAACCTTCGTGCTAACAAAGTTTATTAGATCCAGACAGGTTATTGTTCCCTCCTGCTATGCCAAAACAGCTAAAATACTTAATGGTTTGAGAAAATTGTGGATTGTGACTCAATTACAGACTAAACAACTACGTACGGGAACAAATTGATCATAAATGAAAAGGTAACCACATGCTGTGTATGAATAATAATGAATAATCTTAATGAATTAGTATCCTGTAAACAAAGCTGTCAGATAAATGTAAAGTAAAAGTGTTTACCTCTGAAAAATAGAATATATTATAGGGATACAACAGGAGCAAATTGGGACAGACTACTGGTCAATAATTAAAGACAGTCTCAATAGTCTTATATTTCACTAGTGTCAAAAGGACAAAGACACATTTGGCTTTACTCCCAATTAGTTTTCCACATCAGTTTCCAGCAGCAGCCAGCGTACAGTGCAGACTGTGCAGTTCCTACCAGCATTAAATCAGTAATCATGTAATAGAATAAATTCTAGTACATTTAGTCCAGTCAGATTGATATTTCATTTTGTTTCTGAGGCAGTTCATCTTTAATAATGAGCAGTTAATCATAAAGTATTCAATAGCCAATGTATAATCACGATAATCACATTTTTGACTATTTTATAGAATATTTTATTGACAGTTATAAAATGACATGTTTCAGTCAATGATTAATCAAGAGAATATTGACAGACTAATTGATAGTAAAAAATTTATAATTGTTGCAGAAAAAGTGAGTACTCTAGCAAGACTTGTTTGTTAAAACATTGCAATGTGTGAATAAAATGTACAAAACAGCAACCAATTATAAACAAGTTGACCACAACACACAGAAGTGGTTTTAAGTAATAACAGCTGAACAAAAATATGCACACAGACTGAAAGCTGAGAGAAACACTGTAAACATACAACAGGGCTCAATTGTACTGTCATGTCACCAACAATTGATTAAAAAATATATATAGTATTAAGTGTCACAAAACAAACCTGCATAGTGTTGACAGTGTGAGTGCACAGTACTGAGATAACCTGAGATAGACTCACTGACCCTACACCTTTATTGAAATAACAGCAGAGTGAATAAGTACTTAGACCAATGAACTTGGTTCAGTGCAGAAAAGAAAAGAGGAAAAAGAAAGCACACATACAACTGTGATTACACCTACAGGTGATAAAGTTAAATCAGACATGTCACCATTGTTTGGGCTGATTCATTTACATGGCACAGCTTTATAATCAGTCCAGGACGAAGTTAGAAGATAATGAATCAAATATGTATTAAATATGTGGTTTGAAACAGAAAAAAGGCACACTGGATTTGGCTCATTTACAGTATTATTAAAAACTAAATTTCCCTTTACAATTTAATGTACATTTAATGTTGCAATCATTCCTGTAGTTTACAGTTACAGCAAAAAGAATTTATCATGATTACAAAAGAGGAAAAACCTTAAAAATTTGAGTTACTGATTCTACCATTTTTATTGGAAATCAATAAAAATTCAACACATCTAAAACACAGCCTAATCTATAGGCATTTGTGCAAAATAAAAAAAATGTGCAAAAGTGTAAAGAGAAAAAAAAAAAAAAAAAGTAGTTTTAAATAATATTGATTCACTTCACTTGAATAAAACAAAAGTAAAAAGTATTTACAATAGCTCATTGCGGCATGAGGCTCATCTGAATATAGGAAAGACTTTTCTGCCACTATTAAGGAAAAGGGTGAAAAAGAAGCCAGAAATCTAAACCCACTTCTCCATGTGCGGCTGACCCTGATGTAACTTTGTCCTCGCAAGCAGTCGGTCCACACCTTTTAAAAAACATCCTGGCACCTGATGCCCAACCACAGGCTCTGAGACGTGTAATCCCAGGCAACACAAAGAGATTTCAGGGGTCTGGGGAACGCCACATGGCAATGTCACTGGATACCAGAGATTTCCTCAGAGGGAGTTCACTGTTGCAGTTTTCCCCCACAGGGCCGGGAAGGGAAAAGAAGAGGAAAGACGAGGGGACGAGCAACTCTGTAGTCACCAGGTGTGGAAGCGTCACTGTGGTGCTGCTGTGAGATTGGCCAGAGCAAAGTTTTGCTGTAGCACCACCAGAGAGCTGCGGAGCTGTGAGGAGAAGAAGAACTGACTCAGCACCTACAAACACCTGCTACAAGACAGCTATGAATTTATGTGATGGACTCCTGCTGGTTGTAAGATAGAAATGCAAGTCTGCGCTTTTTAAGCAGATTTAATGAAACTACTTTAAACAAATTTTTAAAACTCATAGTCCAGTAAACACAAATGACTTTAATCTCTTCTCATTTATAGATCCTAACTAGGTTTTTAAGTAAATTTGCAGTTGACCTCAACACATCCATCCTTTTAAAAGAGTAGTAGATTCATGAAGCTACAGCCAGTTGCCAGTTACCTTAGCTTAGCATAAAGACTGGAAGCAGGGAGAACCAGTTATCAGCCTCGCTCTGTCCAAAGCGAACTAAATCAATGTACCAGCACCTCTAAAGCGCACTGATTAACAACTTCTATGTCATTTGTTCAACCCTTACAGAAAGCTTAGTGTAAAAAAAAAAAAAAATGTAAATTCGGGGTTTTACAGGGGTTATGTGTTGGATTATTTCGTGGTTGTAAGCAGTTGCCAGGCAACCAGCACAGTTTCCAGGAAGTAACAAGTCCAGCCTAGACTAGCAACTTCCTGGAAAGAAAAAGAAAACTGGCACATAACCAACAACAATTCTCAGTAAATAATTTGTGAAAGATTTACATCCAGAACATCTCATTTATGTAACGTTGGTGCATTTGCAGCTTAAACAGCCGATCCTACCTGTTCTAAAAGGTTGATGGAGTCCTGAAGTACAATTTTTAGCAGCTTCACATCCTCTCTGGTCCTATATTCAGGGGCCAAGCTGCCAAACAACAGAAAGAAGGATATTATTCTTATGTGCAAACTATGATATTTACATTTTCTACATTAAAAAGGCAGCAGAAGACACAAAAACAGACAGAAACAAAGTGAAGGAAATGTTAGAAGAGGGCCAAGAAGGGCACTGATGCAAGACTATCTCACTTACATAACTACATTTACTGAGGCTGACAAACAGGCACTTTCAACAGTGAGTCATTAGAACAAGAGCTCTCTTGTATGTGGGCTGCTTAAACGATGCAGACAAAAAAAAAAAAAAAAAAGATGGAGGAAGATAAACCCCTTCCCCCTCTCCACCCACACCAGGACTTCTGCTTTCTGAGTGATGATGGCAGTTGCTGATACAGTTACTGATTATTATACAGATTATATACACTGTATATATGCTAGTTACAAAAAACGTTATCCGACCTGGCCTCGCTCCTCTCCCTCAGCCGATGCTTTGTGCTCAGGTACATGCGGTGGGCTACATCCTCCATGGCCCACAACTTGAAAAACAGACCCAGATTCATCACCGTCAGAATCAGCAAACTGAAAGAAAAAAAAAAAAAAAAAAAAGAAGAGGCAAAAGGTTAGAGGAGAAATTACCACACACAACCTTTAGACATTAATGACTTATTTACAATCAAGGCACTTTGTCACACCCAGATTCTACATCTAATCAAATCTGAAATAAAGTTGTCAGTAGTTACAGGTAAAATAGGAGGCACAATGTGTATTCCTTACTAGACAATTCAAACAACATTGTTTCACAGGTGTGTTTACACATTGTTAACTTACATCACACTCATTCCAGCCACTATTGTCGTGGTGTTCAATCTGCTCGGGCCTTTCATGTCTACGGGGCCTGAAAGACAGATCAATAAATTATTGATTTTGAAAATAATACCTGGGTTGCCATAAATAGGAAACGTTTCCAGTCTCAAGATCCTTCAGTTCCTTTAAAAAACGTATTGAGATGTTCAAATGGACACTGTAGTAAACATTAAGTTGCTCAACACCGTGTACTAAATTCTCAAAGCCTTGACAAAGCCTTCAAAGCAAGAGTGTATTGTGCAAACAGCACACCAGACAACAGCCACAGTTATAACCGCTGACAACCAGAGGCATCATCGTAGTACGTTACTTTCTCAAGCTGTTGCAAACCATAGCATGCCACTGGAAGGCCTCACATGTTCATAGCTCACTTCAGTCGGATTAAGGAGATTGGATTGAAAGGTTTTAAAATGTACATGTTTGATATGTTAAAATAAAAGTTGTAGACAAACTCTTGGCATCACTATATACACACTCCGAAATATTAGAGCAACTAAAAATGAGAATATCACATCTGGAAATCAAATCTCAACTAGGCAGCCTTAAAAAAAAAAAAAAAAAGAAAATGTACAGTTCAAAAGTTCAAAATGCACTCAGTCGTCTTTTTGTTCATGAAACTGGAGCATAGAGACGATGAGTGTAGCTTAGCATAAAGACTGGAGGCAGATAGAAAAGAATCTGGACCCCCCCCCCTCAAACAGGTTAGAAGATAAAACACATTCATTAGTGAGCTTTACAGATGCTAGTAGCCAGGCTAGCTTTTCCCCCCTGCTTCCAGTCTTCATGCTAAGCTAAGTCAACCATCTCCTGCCTGAAGCTTTATAAACAATGGACAAACGTGGGAGTGGTATTAATATTTTCCCTCGGGAAGAAAGCGACTATATACACAATATAATGTCATGTACCCATGTTGCCATCTCTGTGCTGGTCGGGGTCTTGCCCGTACTGCTTGTTGGGCTTGATGTGCTCTGGCAGAGTCCGGCTGTAAGTCCGCCTCCTCCTCCGAATCCCACTCATCTTCCCAGAGTCTCCACCTCCTTGGTTCATGTCTGGTTCCTCCTCCAGCAGTTCTGCTTCTGTACAGAGTCACCACACAAATATAAGGAAGAATGAGAAGGGTTAAGACAGTAAAAACATGTCATTCAAGTGTCTGTATGTACACAGGTTTATTAAACAAGCATTACAGTGGAAAAACATGTCTGCTTAATAAACAACTTTAAAAACAATATGTACATTATGAAGGTTTCCCTGCTCAAGCTCAGTGCACTGAACACTTAAAATGGCAGATAACCCTTGGCTGATGCACTCCCATTATGTTCCTTTTCACCTTCCTTGCAAATGCAGCTTTAATAGGATCCTCTACTGCAGGAAACTGCTCATATCATATCAGAGATAAAATAAACCACAGGCTAAGGAAAGAAGACAGGGAAGTGCTCCCTTCTTCCTCCACAGTGGGCCAACAGGGCTTTCTACTTACCCAGCTGTCTGAAATAATCTTCTATGCCGCTCCAGGAGTTTTTGGTGATGAAGGATTTGACCAGGCCCCATGGCTGCTTCTTATACTTCACATCAGTATAGACCCTGACAATGCAACAGACATTTTATGGCATTTTAATGGCAGCCACTACAAAAACATAAGAACCAAACTGTTACAATCATAATAAACTTACCTCAGTCGACACTTCCGCTTCGTGATACGTACGATATAGTACCGATTTTGCGTATAGAAGTAATCGTGGTAGGGAACGTCGTGAGTGTAAACCTCTGAGTCCACAAGGTAATAGTGACCATCCCTGGATTCTTTGTACAGCGTCTGAGAGGTAATTAGAGTACAAATAATCAGTGAGCCACAATTCATCCATTCAAGTGTGCGCACACACACACACACACACACACACACACACACACACACACACACACACACACACACACACACACACACCACACACACCTGGTTCTCTGTAGCGGTGGAGAACTTGCCAATCAGAGGGTTGCTGATGGTTATTGTGTAGTTCAAACTCCTCTTCATGTTTCCTGAAGCCTCTTTTTGCCAAGCAGTAAAGCTGGCGTCTGAACACAAAAGGTCAACATGAATACACATGAAAGGCTTATTGGCTAGGACTGGTGGATAAGTCAATTTCACGTGTGGCTGACAATAATTTGATTCTTGTTATTGTTTATTAACAGTAAGGATAACCAATGCAACAGATGTCCTAGGTCACGCCTTTAAATCTAGATTAAAAAACAGTTTAATACTCACTGGTTATCTTCCTGATGTTCATGAACCTGCGGATGAAGCTGGAGTCGGTGAAGAGCAGCTCAAACATCTTGTTGGCGCTGATGTGGAAGACCTTGTTTAGATAAAGTCGACCTTGCACCTCAGGTAAACCCACACGCTCCTCCACTGATGAAGAAAAAAAAACAGGTAGAGGAAATAAAAATACAAAAACACATGAGCTGAGGCATCCCCCTCCTCCAGTGCCTGGATTGTGTCCTCTTACCGTCCTCGATGCTCTCTGAACCGCTCTGCTCAGACACGCCATTCTCGTTGGCATTGAGGTCAAGAGAAAGTGAAGAGCGCTTGGAAACCCGTTCTGGGGCGAGGCGGTCTAGCGATGGAACAGGACTACGCTGCTGAGATGGGGTGCTGCGAAACTCATCCTGTTGGAGAGTGAAACGTGAAAAAAAAAAAAGATGTAAAAAGATTTAGACAAACACATAGCATGCAATAAAAGAAAAATGCAATTCTTAATACCGTGTTGGCGGAGTGCTGTGAGCCGAGAGGGGAAGGCAAGTCCTCCCCCTGAGGCGTGGAGGTCTCTAAGGGCCCATGCTCCAACCCTGGGAGGCGAAGGGAGGGGGTCCGCTCTAGCCTCCCAAGACCATCATCACCGCCAGGCCTCACCGTCAGGCTGCAGACAAACAAGACGGGTTGTGTCAAATTACAGCACGCCGTGATTGTGTGCGAGGATGGACGTGCAGGCGGTCTCACCTGGTCTGCATGCTTGATTCTGCTGATATCTGTAAGCTCTCCATCTCTTCATGGCTCAGGCCCAGGTCATACCCATAATGCTGTTTAACCATCTGCCACAACTCCACACTGGTCAGAGGCTGGGAGCAGAAAATGAAATAAAAAATGAGGACAGGTCAAAATGATTCTGAAACAGCTAAAAAAGCTTGTCTGGAAATCAGAGATCTCCTTCTCTTCCCCAGTAAGGACTTATGACTGATAGAACAACAACAAAAAACTTAAGCTGACTCCTAGGTAGGTAACCTGGAAACATGTAGCCTCCACCTAGTATAATTTACGATCTTATCACCATGGGTGACAACCTACAAACCTTATTGTCTATCTCTTGACTGCTGGGATACTCATATCATATTTGTGTTAACCCCTGACAGCCAAGAGGGACCAATTATCACCTAAAAATAATAAAGATCTGAAAATATTTACCCTAAAAAAAGTTGACCTTAGAACAAAATGAACACACCTGCGGGTCTAGGTGCTCCGAGGAAATAATCAGCCATAACATAAAACAAGATACTGCTCCAAGTAATAAAATTACTTTAAAAAAACCGCTCTGTATTATCGGAGGCCAGTCTATTTCGACGTGGGAATAAAGACGTTTTTAACCATATGGTTCCGCCTGCGGTCTTCTAGCCGCTCGCGTATCTAAAACCGAGCGAAAGTTTAAGATCCATCAACATGTACTTACTCGTCGGAGGACATTTCCTCGCAGCTGTGAGCTTTAAGTGGCTGTCAGACATCGATCTGTAACCGGGACGCACTCACATTCAGGAAGTCCTGCATTTAAAGGACTGCATGGGGCGTAAATACGCGCCGCCCAGATTGACACTGTGATCGAGGTAAATAAAAGTTCGCTTTACCTGTCGAAAGTCCGGATCACCGACGGTTCACACGGCCACAGAAACCCCTTTGTTTTATGTGATTCACTCCACAGTTTTCGTGAGTTTCAAGTGCGCTCTGTGCGGTTACAGGCAAAATGCAAATGAGCCCTCATAGCCACACCTGGAGAGGTCAATGAACTCTTGAAGGGGATGTTTTTATACAGGTGTTTGTGCTCACATCCCAGCAGGCTTACGCCCCCCTGTGGGTAGGCTGCCATAGTGCCTGTCTATAAGAATAGTCAAGTGATGGCAGCTGTAGAGATCAAATTAAAAGGAGAAGTGCCAGTCGTTTGTCATCATCATCATTATTGACTCATAATCTCATTTTAAAAAGTTATGAGAACATTTTCCCTACACGCTATATGAATTCAATATGTTCTGTTTATTCAGAGTTTACTAGGCTATCTGTTTACTTTTACAGTGCAAAGAGTTCAACCTCTCAAAACAAAGAGGGCTTAGCTGAGCAGATGGTTTCATATTCAACTACAACCCTGACAGATTGAAAGTAAATTATTCCTGCGTATGAATATAAAATGAAACATCTGATCTGCTGCTTCAAGTTCAGTCTCTTCAACTGAAAACTTAAACTGCTTTCAGCATCAACTTACACTAATACTCAAAGTAATAATCACCAAACTCCGTTTATGTATTTAAATCTTATCATTACCTCAACAGGTCATATTTTTCATTGTTAGTGGCGTTTAGTGGCGAGTCTGCCATTCCCTGGTCTCACGATACTAGCAGATCAGAGATCTCAGCAGCCTGAATGGCGGCAAGAACGGCTACCAACAAACCAAAACCCCTTACTTCTACCTTACCTGACACAATGCTCTGTTCCCTATTCTCCTCCGCAGTAAAACAAACCAGAGATATAGCGAATCACTTTGTGACATGAAGAGAGCTTTTTAAAACATTAAAAATGGATGTCCTAAGCAATGTTATGTAATACAACATGTCACTGCCCTAAAGACTTTATATTGGTTCTACAGGGTCTTTTTTCTCTCTCTTTCTCCCTCTAATTGTTTCAATCCAGTTTTATCACAGAAGGCTGAGAGAAGTCGTCAGTCTCTACTGGCCAAAGTGTTTAGAGACTGGCTGTGAGTCTATCTATTCCCAGGCTGTAATGCAATTTAACTATGGGTCTTAAAATTGTAACTACTAAGTTTTCAGCCATTACACTTCAACTGCTTCCAGTGCTTCAAACCCTTTCATTCATGTAACTCATATACAAACAATTAACATTTAAACAAGCTTAAATTGTCTTCTGAAAATAAAGCTTTTCCAGTGTAGTATCCATTCACCAGTGCAAAGAGGGCAACGCAATTCTCCAAATAAAGGTGAGTGAGCTGAGTGGTTTTATTTTTAACTAGAACCCTGACATACTTGTAGGTAAATTATTCCAAATAGTATTTCAGTCTGGAACAATGAAAGTTGCTCAGCGAGCTGCTGTGCTGCTTTGTGCAGTCTTTACCCTACATGCAATAGCAGAATGACACTGATAACCTCAAAGGAAGACAGACTGTGGCCGGGGCAGTTTGATATGTACTCTGGACCGATTAGATAAGTGCTGCAAAATGCGTTAAAGTCACAGACCTGCTGTTCTGGGAGGCATTTAGTCACAGCAGTCATGTTATTGGACACCAGCGGCAGCGGTTTGTGATACATGTGGTATGACTGTATGAATGTAGGCCTTGTAGACAGGATTTTTCTTGACACATGTGACTTGAAGTATGAAACATGAACTACTGTTGAACCTGCATGAACAATGGTTACTCCCACACGGAGTATGAAGATTGTGCTGATGAGTGTCTGTTGTTAAGAAACTTTTCTTTGTAAGGTAACAGCAGGTTAGTGGAAAAGGGCCTTACCTTGTCCAACAGTGTGTTTTGCCACATGCGAAAAACACTCAGGTAACTTTTCTCTCTTGCAGAGAAGGAAGTGAAGAAGAACTGAGGATAAAGATATAAGGAGAGTAATTGATTATGTGTTTAGCAAATGTAGAATAAACTCTGCTCTCTTCCAACACAGCGTACCTTCTCTGTGCTCGTGCAGACCTGGATGGCATTGGGAATCAGCCGAGCTGTTTTCTCTCTGGTCATAGTCGTGATTTCTTTAAGAGTCAGTATAATCTATAAAAAAAAGGTGAAAGGTTGCAGTTGTTCGTAGTGCGTACGTGCTTATCAAAGAATGCTATAAAGAAAAAAAATCCACCCTTGAATACCATTACATCATCAGAAAGATCCTCTTCCACTCAGGAGTTATTTTGTGATGACATCTAATAATGAGTTTTAGCAACACCCAAGAAGAGGCGTAAACTTACTGCTTAGAGCACAGAGTTAATCAGACATTGTTGTATTAGCATGTGGTCCACTGAGGCTGCGGCTAGTGCAGCAATTAGTGTTCATCTTCCTTATTATTTTTCCTTGTTGTATCTTGACTGTTGTTCTCCACAATTGTTGCAATTTATTGCAAAACTAGAGTTTATTGCAGTGTACGAACCCAAATCAGATTTTTGTGGTTCATATTTTGTATTGTTGAAAATATTTATTTTTCAAAAATGAAATTTCTCTATATTTTTATGTATATTTGAAGTTATTTGTGGGGATATAACAAAATGTACAGTAACAAATCAACAAAAGGAGGTAAGAAATGCAGTTTATATTTTTACTATAACTGTTTTAATGTAGTGTTTTAGGATGACCTTTTCTTTTAAAATACTGCACTCTCTGTTAGACACTAATATTTTTGATCTCTCACTATTAACAGTGTGAGCACAAATGTACCTTAATGTATCTGACCCTGTTATTCCTTTGTGAAACAGCAATATAGTACAAGAAACAATCTTGTGCTATATTCTGTTGCTTTGACTGCACACCCTCCTCTTCCCCTCTGCCCTCCTCCACTTTCCTATTACCTTCGTACCCCGAAACACATTACTGTAGAAACAGAGCCAGTTCTCTGACAGGAAGAGACGTCCCTGAAGGAGGATATCCCGCTGGAGGGCACACGGGTAGTCTGAGGGAAAACCATCCATACAAATGAGTGTGCCTGAGGTGTTCTTTGACACAATATATCTATAAAACAGGTCACTGTAGTGAGATGTTGTTAGCCATAGTGTTCTTTTAGTTCATTTTAGATAGAGACAATATGTTACCACTTATAATTCAGTTTAATTATCAATATAAACTCACTGATTCTAGTCAGTCTTATGGTTTCGACAGAGACCAGCTGTGTCATACTGAGTTACAGGGTTATATGTCTAAACATAATCATTTTTCATTTTATCCATGAAAAAACAGTGTAGAAACAGTCTTAATTAGAATATTTTACTGTGTAAATGTACATGTACTATATCTGCAATGAAACACTAAAAGATGCAGGTACACAGATTTTGTCACACAGTGTGGGGGACGTCATTTAAACCTTATACTCTCTATAAATATATTTAAGGGAAATTAAGGATACTTATTGGGAACATCTAAGTTCACCATGATAAAATATTGTCCAGTGATGTCATATCATTGATCATGTGAGACCAAAACTGCTTATATGTTTGTTGTATACTTTAATATTTGTTTTCCTAGATTTCTGAGTATCCCATATTAGGGAGCTGCTTACTCTATAAGGATACCTTTAATATAGTTTCACTTGTGTAATTTGTTCGTCTAAATACTTTTTCAGAGGCATTTCCACTTTGATAAGAACAAAATTTAAGATAAAACAAAGACTATTTTATATTCTTATAAAATGAAATTGGTCAAACATTGAAATGATAAAACAAACATCTGGATCATCTGGACAATCATTACTATGAGGAGCAGTCATCATAACTCACCCACTATGAGTCTCTCTGACTCTGGCAGTTCTTTGAACAACTTCTTAAATTCATCAAACCTCTGTTTGTATGTTGCCAGAGGAGCTTGAGGTGCTGCCAGACACTGTCCCTGAGGGTCAGAGCTCTGATGGAGGAGATATGAACATTACTGATACAGTATATGTGTACAGTGTCAGTGCATTTGATTATTTATTTGTGCAAGAAACAATAAATGATGTTATAGCAGAACTGCAAGCTTTGTGTGAATTATTTTTAGGATCCATTAGTCATATCCAAGCAGCAGTATCTTTATGTTTATAGAGACAGCTTAGTGCTTTTACCTCGTCTTCATCAGAGCTCCACCTGACATCCACCATGGATGTTGACTCATCTGTAATGTCATCGCTGCCCACTCCTGACCGGTTGGATAGCTGGTCCATCTGCTCTGCTGCAGGGCTTAAATAAAGAGAATATGTTTTGTGAAACTCCTTAAACCCTGCTGCAGATTGACATTATACACATTTCAATCCCTCCAGCTGTCATAAGGAGAGACTAGAAGGGGGAAATAGCTTGTGGGTCTTTTGAGAGTTGAACTTTAAGAACATAATCTGAACCTCAGCAATGAATGTCATCAAACAGGGATAGCCAGGAGCACCACAGCGGAAGTCATTATCACTGCAACAGAACTGGTTTGACTAGGAGAGCTGTGCTAGAAGTGTAGTCATGCCAATGAACAGAAACCTTTAAGACTGTTTTTCTTTTGTTAAGTGTAAAAGTGTAGTTAAAAGAACGGATTTGTGTCATAAAGTAAGAAACATTTATTGAAATTAAAAAACAGAAATGCGCATAATGACAGCGACCTAGTGCCACCACTCACGTCAAATTCTTGGTGTTAGATTGTGTTAGTCGATACGAACTATAGGTCGACGTGGATGTCAAGTTATGTCAAACAAACTCAAGCTAATAAAAGGTTTCCATCAGATTTGAAAAACCTTCAAACGTGTGTTTAAATACTTTTACGCACGGCGTAATGGGCGCACAGGCGTGCTGCGCCTTTAGCATGTCTCCACATGCGCGTTATCTGAGACAGAATTGTTGTTCAGTCACTTACCTTTTACGTAGTGGACCCAGGATCTCTGTTTTATCTGAACTCCAACTGCAAGCGACTTAATAAAACCAAGTAAACACCAGTTTGTCCCACACAGCTGAAGCTCTGCTGAGCAGTGGAACCTTGTTGCGCCTTGTTGCAGGTGCATCTCATCTGGCCTGGGGGAAATACCTTAAGGGAGTTGTCATCTCATTGGTGACGCTCATCTGTCTTCACAGAACTAGTTAAGGGCTCCAAAATGACCTCTCCCTTCATTTATTATTCATTTGTTATTCGTTTCCAGTTAAAGTTATAGTCATGTTCTTCCAAGTAATCCGGAGAGTAAAGTACTGCATTGTGATGTGTTTTCTTTCATGGAATTTAAGTTGTTCTTTTAACAATTGCAACATATTTTTTTTAAATTACACCCTGTTCATCTCTACTTTTATTAATTGCAATCACTAAATTAAGCTCTTACTTTTTTTTTAAAAGAACAATTATTTTAGTAGTTAAAATGATTTCTATGCACAAAGCATCCAAAGAGGGACGGTGCTGGAGAGTATGTGTGATATGCAGAGAGACCAGTTCTGCAGCTCTGATGCATAATTTCCAGAAACCATGAGGTCAAACAGACAAACACACACACACACACACATTAATCTTTTTCCCCATGTTTTAATTCTTTGGGAGTAACATGATGAAAGTATTGGACAGCAGAGCATTGGAGTCCGACTCTTACACATTCACACAGCAAAGTACACGACACTGCACAGCGTGAAACACAACCATAAAAACAAAAAGAAAGAACAACAGAGCCTTTACGTCAAAAATGCTGGCAATAAATAGACTGATCTTATTAAATTTATATTCAATACTCTTCTGTACAGATGGTTTTTGAATTACAATACATCAACCGAACAATCCTCTTCAGGAAGAGCAACACAGTTACACACAGAAATCATGTAAACAGAGAAAGGAAGAAAAGGGGTGAAGAGATCCCTCTTTCAAACACACATTAAATTCACACACGCATGCATGATCAGCGACCATGCAGAGGATCCAGAGTACGCCGATATGAGGCAACAAATAATAATGAATACAGTACATCTTTCTCTTTTCCCTCCACATGAAAATGCGCGCACACACACACACACACACACACACACACACACACACACACACACACACACACACACACACACACACACACACACACACACACACAAAAAAGGAGCACAGGGGAGCACGCAGGTTTTTCAGGAACACGAGGAGGTGGAATGTGATTCTTCAGTGGAGGGCTCAGAGATGAAATCCATAAAGGTCGCGAGAGGCAGAGGGAGCCTATTCTTCCAACGTACGGAAGGCGTTCTGCATGTCCTCCACGAGCTGAGCGTACTCGGCCTTGATCTTAGCCTCGCCGTCTTTCACTGGATCCTGCACGGACAAAGAAACACAATCTTAAACGTGAAGTTCAAGTACAGACCTGAAACCATCAGAGCTGATTACTTTCTGGATCTGGACAACAGCCATCTTGGTCAATGCTTCTAAACTTGCTTTGGAAACTCATAACTGATTATTCATCTCTGCTGAATACTGTCTATACTCTTTGTAGTATAGTATATGTAATTTTTTATACTGCCCCCATGGCAAGGTCCCTCTTGAAAAAAGAAAACTTGATGGGTGGAGGTAATCCCTTCAACATATAGCACAAATACACTTGTGTATATGCAGACTTCCAACACACTTAAAGAGCGCTGTATGTTGATGAAGCAAAAGTCAATTAAAAACTCAAATGTGTCCTTTAAACAGCCGTTCTCAACCTTTTCATCCTTGCAACTTCTGCAGAATGTTAAACGCTTTAAATAAAAAATAATTTTCTCTTTTTCTTTAATTTGATTATGAGTTTTAGAGCTTAGAAACTATTCTCAAAACAAATTTTCCCATGGGGATCAATAAAGTATTTCTGATTCTGTTTCTGAAATTAAAAAAGTCTAAAAAATATCTATTGAGGAATTAACACACACACACACACACACACACACACACACACACACACACACACAGTACCTTGAATTTCATTGAACTGAGCCTGTAGAGGATTTCTCCCATGTGCTCCTTAATCATGGCCCAAGTGATCTTGTTGTCGCTCTGAGCTGTGGTCTCCACTGCGTGTCGTGCCATGTCGTAGAAAGAAATCGTGTTGGAGAGAATGCCCACCGTCTTATAGAAGGGACAGAACCTGAGGAGCAAAGTCAGATAGTTTGTTATCAGTCATCAGTAGATTAGATCAGTAAATTCTTTTTCATTTTTCAGGTTTACATTCAGAGAAAATGTCCCCCTTCACTTTATCTCCAAGTTGTCCAGCATTTATCTGAACTCTGGTCAGTGACTGTGTGTGACAAAGAAGAAAAAAATGCAGTGTGTGACGTTACCTGTCATAAGGAGTGTAACCGTTCTGCTGCAGGAAGTCGTCTTTGAGCAGTTTGGCCACTTCAAGGGTGATTTTATCCGTTTCTGCCAGTGATGCCTGTTAAAAGAATTTAAATTTACTTAAACTGGAAAAAATGCATTGGAGCAGTACTTTTTCAGATGAAAAGTTAATCGAAAGATCAAACCACTGCCGCCGACTTAAATTACCTTTCCGACAAGCTGCACAATCTCAGCCAGGTCCTCCTCCTCCTGCAGGATCTCCTTGGCCTTGGTACGCAGGGGCACAAACTCGGGGAAGTGCTTGTCGTAATACTCATCCAGAGCACGGGTGTATTTGCTGTAGCTGATCAGCCAGTTCACAGAGGGGAAGTGCTTCCTCTGAGCCAGCTTCTTATCCAGACCCCAGAACACCTGAAAGAGGGAATATTAATAACATAAAGTGAAGAACTGAGCACCTTTAGTTAACAAAGCTTAATGACACAACTTAATGATTTACCTGTACAATACCAAGAGTGGCTGAAGTGACAGGGTCAGAGAAGTCACCACCTGGAGGCGATACACTGAGGAAAGAACAAGCTGTTTAACTGCTATATTCCTTTTACAGTCCATACAAGATGTGCAGGGTAATGTCTCCCTCTAGTGGACAAAATAAAGCTGTACTCACGCTCCTACGATACTGACGCTGCCCTCCCTCTCAGGGTTGCCCAGACACTTCACCCTTCCAGCACGCTCGTAGAAAGAGGCGAGACGGGCACCCAGGTAGGCAGGATAGCCACTGTCTGTGGGCAGATACAGAAAACACACAGATAGACTTTATGCTTCCTACCAGGTTACCATGATCACACAAAAGAGGTGAGAGAACTGTACCACTGTACTGGATTTCAATTCCCTCATTAATTTCTGCAAAAAATTAGGCTTACACAGATTTTCAGCATCTGTTTAATTATCTGAGTCTGAACTCAGTGTAGAAGTAGAAAAAAGGCATGCATGTGACTCGTCTTTTTTTAAACCATGGTTTCATTTGGAAGTCAAAGAAAAAGAAAAAAAATCTACTAAGCCTGCCAGCGTTAATGTGTTAATGTAATTATAGCATACAATAATTATCCTCTGTAACGGACGTGCTGCTCGATTGGCAGGCAGTGTCTGACGTAGAGTGTCAAACACATGGCTCTCCTGGAATCCTCCTAGAAAGATGTTTCCACTTATTCCACATTACATCTTTCTTTGTGTAATGAAGCCATGCTTTGGATCGTTTGTTCCTCTCTGCCATGACTTCTTCTTGTTGTTTCAATGTACAATTTATTACTCTGCAACTAAAGCCCACGATTGTTTTAATTATCGATTAATCCACATATTATTTTCTTTATTAGTCAGTCAAGAGAAGTAGTGAAAATTATCTATCACAAGCTCCAAGAGTCCTTTCTAAATTCTTTTTACTTTTATTGCCTTTAATTGATAGTGACGGCTTAAGAGCGACAGGAAACCCCAAAAATATTCAGTTCACCATCAAAGAAGAGAAAACCTGAAAATATTTCATATTCACATTTGAGAATCTGGAACCATTTCGTTTTTGCTTTAAAAACAATAAATCAGTTATCATTTAATTAAAAATGTTGTCAATCAACGAATCAATTAATCGTCTTATTGTTTCCATTGTAGTTGAAAGAACAGATTGTACAACTTTGTGCCATTTGAGGGTTTAGCTGAACCTGTTGTAAATTAGCATAAAATACTTCAAAGTCAAAGGCAGAATAGAAAGCAGTTTGTTGATTGTGCAAGCAGAGGATTGTGTTAGTTTTGTGAAATTCAGATTCCCTCCTACTTCCTTTCAAAAAGTAAATACTGATCACTACAAAAGACCTAATTTATAGAGAATGATTTGCTTATTTCCTGTAAATTCAGAGTCTGATGCCCGACCTGAATGAACAAACACTGAAAAACTGCTGTTTTTCACTTAATGTCAGAAATACCGAAACCGGAATCTGCCTTCAGCTTCAGCTCTTACAATAATATCGAGGAGACTCCAAACTTACCAGCAGGCATCTCAGCCAGACGGCCAGAAATCTCCCTGAGAGCCTCGGCCCAACGGGAGGTGGAGTCGGCCATCATGCTCACGTTGTACCCCATGTCTCTGAAGTACTCAGACAGCGTGATTCCTGTCAAAACAAAGTCAGTTAGTATGCAATCAAAGGAGAAAGTGAAGAGTATTTCCGGCGTATTACTGACAGATACCTGTGTAGATGGAGGCTTCTCTGGCAGCTACAGGCATGTTGGAGGTGTTGGCCACCAGTGCCGTTCTCTTCATGATGCTCTCAGTCTTCCCGCCAACCTCCATGGTCAGCTGTTGGCCAGACAACACGGTCAGAACACCCATCAAAGCCACTCTAGTTGGGAAACAACGGTGGCGCTCTCGCTACTCACCTCAGGGAAGTCTCGCAGTACTTCTGACATCTCGTTACCACGCTCCCCGCAGCCTACGTAGATGATGACGTCACTGTTGGAGTACTTGGACAGGGACTGAGAGATGACAGTCTTTCCACAACCAAAGGCTCCGGGGATGGCTGTGGTTCCTCCCTGCACACACCTTCACATGAAGAAGAGAGGAGAGAGTCAAAAAGAAACTCTCCGTACAGGAAAAAAATTTCAACATGTCTTAAGGATGTGAGACTCACGGGAAAAGGGCGTCCAGCACTCTCTGTCCGGTCAGCAGCGGGTGATTGGCGGGCAGCTTCTCTGTGACGGGCCGCACTTGTCTGACGGGCCACACCTGCACCATGGTGAACTTCTCCTTCACCCCCTCAAACTCCAGCTCCATCACCACATCCTGACACAGACACAGACACAGACACACACACACAGACACACACAGACACACACACACACACACACACACCATCAACACAAAGCAACGTCTAACAGTTACTGCACAGCTGTAGGTGGAGGGCGGCGGACTCACGGTGACGTCGTAGTTTCCAGGTGGAGCCACGTAGGTTACAGTGCCTCTGTTTTTGGGAGGCAGCATGATCTTGTGCTTGATGAGGGAGTTCTCCAACACCATGCCATAGATGTCTCCTCCTGTGATGTGACTGCCAACCTAACAGTGATAAAAAAAAAAATTTTTTTTAAAGTTTTTAAAAAAGGGGGGTTAATTCGCCCGATAATTTTAACATGTCAAGATGAAAGTTTGAAGTCACTTACCCGCAGGCTCTTGCTGGGAGTAAACTCCCACTTGAGGTCTCGGTTGAGGGCTCCGATGTTTACACCTCTGGGGATGTAGATGCTTTGTGTGAGGTCATTGATGTCCTTAAGTGGTCGCTGGATACCATCAAAGATGGATCCCATGATTCCTGGACCCAACTCCACAGAGAGAGGTTTCCCTGTACGCAGCACGGGATCTCCAACAGACACACCGGCTGGGTTCAAGCTCAGGAAATAAGTCTGAATGGAAACTATTTCCACTTTTACATATGCAAGATGCTACTATGCAACATCTGAAAAATTAACAAGAATTAGGAGTAGATATTTTAGAAGAGCAGTGAAAGGACGCAGTGCAGTCGTTCCCCTCTTTGTTTGTGTGAACAATCTTACACTTTAAAAAGGTATTACATAGGTTACACCGGTCCAAGATTACAAAAGAGAACAAAATATTTCCAAATACTTTTTAAGAGCTGTCGTAATCTGTCAAATTAAACTTGTTATTAAGTTAAATAATTAAGTAATTAAATGTGCCTGTTAAGACACAATGACAGTAGTTTAGGTCATGGATCCTAATATAGTGAGACCTGAAGTCAGTCTGCTGGCCTCTAATCATACAAACTGGATGAGATAAATACATTTCAATTCATTAATTATTAAAAGGAAAGGAAGGTAGGCTCTATAAAATATGGTTACAGTGGCCCAGAACGGACAAACCTGGTTCTAGATAGGGCTTTTTATGAGTTTTGCAGCTACCGGAGTCTTTCATACACGCCTGGAAGGACAGTGGTTTTCAGTTGGTTGCAATCTGCAACTTCACAGCGAGATGCCATTAAATCCTACACACACACACACTTTTAAGTATTTTAACAATCACCTTTACTTTAATACTATTTATTTGTTTGGCTCCTACAGGCCCCTGATTGATTGGTTTCTACTGCACTTTTATTTCCTTTGTTGCATTTGGGGAAACTTATTGCTGCACTGTGACTGCATTTCTTTTCTAATCTATTTGTATTTTATTTTATTCTATTTTATTCTTCTAATTGATTTTATTCTAGTTTTATTGCTTATTGTTTTTTAATGTAATGCAAATGCTTTTATTTGCCTCTGTGTTTGAAATGTGCTATATAAATGAAGATGTTATCAACATCCACCGAACACAGACAGGGCTGGCATTATATCACTCTTTGCTCTCTGACTGAATCAACCTGATTATCTCAAAGAAAAGTACACCTTACAGCAGCTGTACAACAGATCAACATAAAAGCTGTGACATCAAGCAAAGACAGAGAATGGATAGTCACATAGTCAGAAGGATACATGTCTCCTCGTAGACCTGGATGGTGGCCATGTCTCCCTCCAGCCTGATAATCTCTCCCACCAGCTCACTGTGGCCGACACGGACCAGCTCATACATGGCTGCTCCCGCCATGGCTGTAGCTGTCACCACTACAAAAACAAAACGAGGTTAAACAATCAGACTGAAAAGGCTGAAGAGAAAATGATTAAGTGCAACGAGTTTGATCGTGATGATAGTGTTTATTCGTGTGTGTTAGCCAACCTGGTCCGGAGACTCCATGAACGAATCCAAACTGGCTCTCTCTCTCCTCATCCCTGATCTTGGGCAGCTTGGACGTGTCCATCTTTACAGGTTTATAAGTCTGGGTGGAAGGAGAGCGGAGAGGAGAGGAATAATGTGAATGAGACATCAGTAAACAAAGGAAAGGAGAAGAGAGGCTGCCCTCTAACCTCTGTGTCTACACTGTAATTATTAATACATTGTATTAGCAGCCACGAGGCGGCTGTGGGAACTGTTTGCTTTGATTACTGTTGTTACAGTTAATTTCATATGAGACCACCAGGCTGTTTAAGAACTCGGCCAGAATGGAGAATTAAATCTATTTTCTTTTTAAATAGTGACGCAAACATAAAACATTTTGTTAAAAAAGTTCTCTGAGTAAAAGCAAAGTTAATAACCTGTAACAGTTAGTAATTTTCAACATGAACAAAATTAATTTCCTAAATCATAAAAGGCCGAAAAATTAAAGATAATATTTAAAGAATCCACAATTTCACAGACAGATATCTTCCTGGCACTATGGCGGTACCTCGGTAGTGGCACCTCCTACTTTAACCATAGAAACCGCCAGGAAAATACAGCAACATCACTACTCACGACTCTATTTCTCAGCCTGATCTAGGCCACCCCCCTATTCTCCTTCTCCTCCTTGGCTGCACACACTTCAGGTCCAGTAGTACAGTCAATATGACGCATCAGGCTAACATTAGAGGGGGGAATCCCGCAGAGCAGCACGCACCTCTGTCTTCCCCTTCACATATGTACAGACAATATATGTATCTAACACAGCATGATCCTTTTTCATAGAGGGAGAAAAACCTCTGCATCTCTGCATGATTTCCTGCCTCCTATTATTCATGCTTTTCTGTCATTTTCAGATCACATATCTGCTAGATATTATCCTAACTCCATTCGGCTACATGCCTGACTAACACAAACACAAGCTGTCATCAGTCGTGACACAGCCCCATCCCCACAGAGAGCTGACTGCAGATGCTCTGCTCACAATCAAGAGCAGACTTATGTGCAGTATACTGCATGCATCAGACACAGCAGAGCCAGTCAACATGTTCATACTACTTAAATTTGATATTCCTCATTCCTCTATCTGACAGTCGTATCACACAGACAGTACTCTACAGCCATGCCCTTATTTTGTCCTTCCCACTGATGTACAGATCTTCCTGTTTACGCTAGGCTGCTTAACCCATCTGTGCAGCAATATAGCAGCTCCACCAACAGGTCAACGCAGGAATTACAAGAATGACACCTAAAAAGGTTTCACTCTCCCTCAGGCAAAGACCAAAACGATACAAAATTACCTTGCAACTGATTGGTAATTATGTGTCTTTTTTTAATTATCTCAGTTTACAGGTATACCTTAACAATTAAAAGTATCAATGTGTACCTGATGAGGAGCCTTAAAAGAGCAGCATACAGCAGGAAGATAAGGTCTATTGTTCTAATGATTCATTTACATGAGTTCTCTCACACACACACACACACACACACACACACACACACACACACACACACACACACCTCTAGCAGCTTGATTAAATCTAAAACAAACTAGAATTACATGTAAAGTTTGACCCAAAAAAAGGCCTTAAATGACTATAATATTTGATACAAGCCTCTTTACAAGCAGTTAAGGTCAGATTCTCTTGTAATAATCCTGACTGCTACAACAACAGACATGACACTTGATCATATGATCCCTGGCACATGACTGACTGGCCTTGCTCTTTAAGGAAGTGGAAAACTAGCATGGTGCAAAACTGGGAAGTACAAATCATGAGTGTGTGTGTGGAAACACTGGAGACGTTATCCCCTGACTATAATCCTCCAGATAAAATGGGCATGGGGCATACTAAAGATAATTTTACCCTTCATTATTATACTGATCTTAGACATTAATGTTGGCTATTATGTGAAGGATGGTAAAAAAGGTGGGAATAGTCACCTGTTGTTAACAAATGTCAAATAAAAAAGTGACAGAAGGGGGAAAATACCTGTATTTTCTGTAACTTAAAGCAGGCTTTTTGTCTGTCTGTGCTCCTTACTGGATATTTGAGCCACAGGACAACACAGTAACAACACTGGGAGGATGCATGTGCATGTAGATACTGGTGTCTGTGCAAAAATAGGCTCAGAAATGTGGCATGACAGTGAGATGATCATGAGATACATCCTGACACACTGATGTTAATTGCAAACTTGAATGCAGGTTAGCTGATCGCATGAAACTCAGCTCAGTTGTATAGTTTTAATGGAGAAACCCATGGCTAATAGTAGATATTTAATGACATGGTGGTCTGTATATGGTACATAATGAACAGGGGCTTCGTGTCATTGCTTTAAATTTGATTTTAATGCGGAGTATTAAGTGTGATAGCTTCCCTTGAAACTGCACCCGAGCTATCTTAACTTACAGCACACAAAGTCTAAAATCCGGCCGATAAATCGTGAATTAACACGCCTGCAATATCAAATCTTACTTTGTCTTAACGATTAAAAACAACGTTAGCTTGCTCCATATGTTATTCGGTATTATGAAAACGACAGCAACACTGGTCTCTCGGCCTGGATGAAGAATTGCTGCCTCTACCGTTTTGGCCCAACGAGAAAAGCTAAATTATTTCATAATAAACACTCAACAAAGTCCGTCTGCAACGTCGAAATAACAATAATGCAACACAGTTAAACAAGAAAATGTAATAGTTACCGTCTGATTACGAGGTGGTGGTTTACTGTCTTGCCTCGAGAGAGAAAACGATGGTTGCTGCGATGCGTGACAGCAGACGGAGATCAGCTGACTTCATTCACTGGCTGCTCGGTTTTACTGCTGGGCCCCTGCAACCGCCGCCATTTTGGCTCCGCCCAGGGACGACTGCAAAGATTTTGAAGTGGTGAGCAGTTTGTGATCGATCACTCTGGCTCAGCATTCCTCTACAGCAAGCATATAATATAATATAATATAATATACTATACTATACTATACTATACTTTACTATACTATAATATAATATAATATAATATAATATAATATAATATAATGTAATGTAATTTAATATAATGTAATGTGATTTAATTTAATTTAATTTAATTTAATGTAATGTAATGTAATGTAATGTAATATAATGTAATATAATATAATGTAATTTAATTTAATTCAATTTAATATAATGTAATATAATATAATGTAATGTAATGTAATGTAATGTGATGTGATTTAATTTAATTTAATTTAATTTAATTTAAATTAAATATAATGTAATATAATTTAATATAATATAATGTAATTTAATTTAATTCAATTTAATATAATGTAATTTAATATAATGTAATGTAATTTAATCTAATTTAATTTAATATAATTTAATATAATATAATATGTTGTGCTGACATGTATATATTTAAAAAATAATATATAATTCGTATGCTATGAGAGGGAAGCTGGAGAGTTTAAATAATATAATATTATATAATTTGTCCTCAACGACAAAAAGTACACAATTGACGAAGATACCAGTATACAATTTGACTAAAACAAACACAATATACAGAGACAAAACAAAAACAACAAAAGGAAGAAAGCAAAACAATACAGAAAACAAGGTATTAGGTAAACAATTAGGTACAAAATAGAGTTACGTAAATAGAGTTACAAACCATGATTACAAAATTATAAAAGGTGTTATTATGGATATGTACAACTGACATAAGAGCATGTACAATTGACCCTAAAATAAGAAGACGGGGCTTTTTTAAACAGGTGATAATGATATGATATGGACCGGATATTTACAGGAAGATTATTCCAGTCAGAGGGAGCTTTAGACATGAAGGATTTCTTAGCAATTGACTTAGAGAGCAGCAGGAACAGAAAAAAGAGCTGTGTAGAAAGTCTCAACTGATAACTATAGGAGGGAAGCTGAAGAGTTTAAATAAAATAATATAACATAAAACTATTCTTATAACATTGTTTCCTTATAATAAATAATATGAATAAGACATCTACATATATAACAGGTTCAAACAACTAATTTTTGCCCCCTTGCAGGTCAATGTGGCCCTGCAATTAAGACCTAACATTACAGGAGCCTATCTCTCACGAGTTTAATATCTTTATAGCAAGCCTTGAGCCAAAATGGAGGCGCTATAACAAATTGCAGTGATTAAATATTTACTCTCTCTCTCTCTCTCACACACACACACACACACACACACACACACACACACACACAAAACATAATCTAAAATATAGCGATGGTAAAATGGAAGAATAGTTCTATATCAATAAATAATGTATTAATACCTCTCTGAAGTGGTCTCATTATGTATTTAGGGGACATGTTATGTTTTTAATGTTGTTCCCTTGACAGTGTGTTAAAAATATTTTTATTATTTTTATGTAATTCAGCAAAACTACAGAAACGGATCCAAAAATGAAAGTAGTTGTAACATGCATATATAATGTGGGTATTCGTGGCCCTGAGTTTAGCCTCACGGGCCGCGCTTCCTCTCACGTTTGCTACAAATCCCGCCTCAAGCGAACTCAATCTCTTTCTTCTCAGATTAAACAACAAAAACACAATTTATCACCCAAACACGTAAAGTACCCTACGTGGCTTTTTAAACACTCTATAACGAAACTAAACAGGCGCTTCCTTTGACGGTCGCATCCTGACAGACCAAACTCCCGGGCACAATAATCCCCCCTCCTAACCTGCAGCAGCGTTCTGCGCATGCGGGGGTCAGGGTTGACAGTGTCCACACAGTCGTGGAAGGAGTGCGGCGGCTAAAGCTAACTGCAACTACCGCAACTAGCTACATGTGGAGGGTAAAACGGGAGGCATCCCCGACCCCAACTCTGTCACAAAATCCTCCTTTTTTTACCCAAAACAACTCTAAAGTTCAGCCTCATCGAAAATAAGGGATACTATCTGTTTACAATGAAAGGGTGAGTGTAAGCTTTTGAGTCACGAATAAGTAGCTTAGCACGAGTAAAGTTTTTCATGTCTGTTTTTTTTTTTTTCTACAAGGGGAGGAGACGGCGAGGCTAGCTAGCCTGCTAAGCTGCTTTTATATTAGATGTAGGGGAAAAACAAAAAACAAACAAAAAAAAAAAAAAAAACCAGCGCCAGCATCGATACCGTAACACTTCTGGTACGGTGCTTCGCGGCCACTTGAGCCGCTTGTGGGTTCGTTCAGGTCGCGGGCAGGCAAAGCTAACCCGCTAACGTTAGCTGCTAGTGGGAAGCTGAGTCAGTAAACCCACTTCAGCCCAGCGACCACAGGCAGACTCCGGGTGTCAGATAATGTCGACTGCACTGAAGCTTACAGCGTGGTGGGGCCAGATAGTTGGCAGCTTGACGAGCTCCTGGCACCGTGAGCGGTCTGTTGTCCCGGCTCTGTGTCAGTCACCGTGTTGACGTTTACACCGACAGCAACTCCTGAGTGTGTGTGTGTGTGTGTGTGTGTGTGTGTGTGTGTGTGTGTGGATTGTCAGATTGCATGTGGGCGATAATCGGTGTATTAATTGTTCAGATAGGGTTTCACTGGATTGTGGATGGATGCAACAACACACGTGACCAACAGCTGTTTTTTTTTTTTGGGATGTGTAGTCTCCTATAAATACCTCCAGTGAACCCCTGAACCACACAGGCTGCGGAGTTGTATGTGGGTCACTTACTTTGACTCTATAACACACACACACACACACACACACACACACACATTTACTAGGCTATCTTAGAAGTGAGTCTTGGTTTTTAGAAGTTGTAATGTCTGTCTGTTCTAGAAATTAAAGGAGAGGATATCAGAATTATTAGTTTCAGGTGTTTATGTTGCGATAGAGGGTGGTGAGTAATACTGCGTGTGGCATCTCATTGTGTTGTGTCATTTTATCTCAGTGGCACAGCTTCCACCACATCTGTATCATAAGGACAATACATGTTGCTTAGGGGCTGTAATCTTTCAGTTATTAAAACCAACTATTAATTTCTTAAATCAATTAATGAATCGTCTGATATGTGAAATATCAGAAAATGGTGAAGCAGCATAAAGCAGAAAAATCATCACACTTTTCAGAAGCTGCAGTTTCTTTTAAAGATACCGACTCTTTTTTATCTTAATTGACGAAACTAATCAATTGTTTCAGATTTAGCATTAATAATGTTAATTAAATGAATCAACTGCGTTTGAGTTGTTGGTTTGGAAGAAAATAGTCTTTAAGTTACAAACATGCTGCAGTGGATCTTTATTGCATTTGAGTCAAATTATCCTGAATCTAACAGTGTGCCCGTTGTCAGCCATTTGACCGTTTTGCTCTTGTTCCAGTAGCCGGATCGAGCTGGGGGATGTTACGCCCCACAACATTAAGCAGCTGAAACGTCTGAACCAGGTCATCTTCCCTGTCAGCTACAACGACAAGTTTTACAAAGATGTACTGGAAGTTGGAGAGCTTGCAAAGCTAGGTAAGAAACCCAACTCATGTTCTAATACTGATATAAGTCTTTTAACAGGGAATGCAAATGCAGTGAGATATTAGGAGGGAAATCGCTGGCAGAATTCAGTCCTTCGTCAGAGAAATGTAGGGGATTTAACAACCACAAAGACGAAAAGTATTCTCCTTTAACTGCTTGGTTTTCATAGCAGTCATTCATTCAGCCATGCACGCAATTATAGTCCTAATCAAATTGTGTTGTCATGAAAACCTTTACATCTTCCTGCCCTCTGCAGTCTAGCAATCATTGCTCTTTAGGTTAGAAGGAAGGAAGGAAGGTTTACCTGTCTGTTGGTTATGTTTCCGTCTTACCTTTTCTTTGTCTTGCAGCATACTTCAATGACATTGCAGTGGGTGCTGTGTGCTGCAGAGTGGACCACTCTCAGAACCAGAAGAGACTGTACATCATGACGCTCGGCTGTCTAGCACCCTACCGTAGACTTGGAATTGGTAAGGAGCTCCGCATCTCTAGAAGACGCTGCAGTGAAACTTGTGATCTTGTGTTTGGTTTTACCAACGTTGCCTTTGTCTTTCTCTCCAGGTACAAAGATGCTGAATCATGTGCTAAACATCTGTGAGAAGGATGGCACTTTTGACAACATTTACCTGTGAGTGTCTAAATGCAGTCAACAGAAGCAACTACCAGATTAGTGATATCTTTTTTTTTTTACTGAAACCGATCAAATTGACAGATTCTTTCCGCCCTAACATAAATGTAAATTATTTTTTTTCTGCTTTTCTGAGCGATCTTTTCTACCACTAACTGAATTTCTTGTTTCCCTTCCCACAGTCATGTGCAGATCAGCAATGAGTCAGCCATTCACTTTTACCAGAAGTTTGGCTTCGAGATCATCGAAACAAAAAAGAATTACTACAAGAGGATAGAGCCCGCAGATGCCCATGTGTTGCAGAAGAGTCTGCGCAGCCCATGTGCAGCGCCCACCGGAGAGCTTCAGAAGGCAGAGTAGGGGCACAGTGTTTGGAAAGAGCACAGATGTGCCCCTCTCCACAGAAACAGAACTGTGACAAATGCCCCAGGGTCGACACATTCAACACTTTCTTCAAAGGACGCTAAAAAGAGAAAACAAATTTAAAGTACAAAAAATGCTGCATTTATTTTGCAAAGGGGTCCCCCTTTGATTTTTTTTGCATATTTTATTGCTCCCCTTTCCTCATACAGATGATTGAAAATGACAAAAAGCTCGGTATCTAAAAGTGCTCCTATTGACAAAGTTGCCAACTTCAGACAGTTTTAGACTTGGTGAAGGGGGAGGGTGTGGTGTTTGCAAAGCATACTGTTTGTGTTTGAGTTTTTATGCGGTTATGAAGCTAATGGGGACATATCTAT